ATGGGAAGCGGTCGTCAGATGGCAAGCGATTTACACCCAACCCCAGCCCAAGGCATTTCTTGGTGCGTCAAAGATCAAAAGCGTATGTGCAATAACCTCCGACGATTCTAATTAGTCGATTGGATAATTACAGAAATGGCCAGCAATACCAATGCAGACCAACACCATCGAAATTTTCATCTGCAAGTCATTAAAAAATGGTGACTCCCTGGAAGGACAATTTTCACACGAATTAATTATTAAATAATTTAGATATAATTCATTAGAATACTAATTACATTTGAATGGAGACCGATGGATCAAAGTGGAAAATTACGTCGACTGGGAGAGCGGACCGGATGCCGGAAGTTGCTATTTGGAAAATAGTGGGACGAATATTCCTGGAAGCGGATGGCACTGGCAGCCCTCGGGCCCCATAACATACTTCCACCCTCGTTCGCCTGCACGTCGTTCCTCTTAACAGAATAATTGTTGATTGGCTCGCTCGCCGCCCCTCTTCCACTAATCACTTTACTCCACCCGCTCGCGACAGATCGAATTCTCCATTGCCGAGCCGAACACAAACGGAACTTTCACGTACACCAGAGGACACCCTGAGAGTTCCAAATTTCAATGCTATTTTTTATCGAGATTATTCATATCCCTGAAAAATCATGAGCGAATTATTTACTCGATGATTGAAAATTTGAATAGCCAAGTGACACCGGGGGTTCGGATTTTACCGGAGCTTTGTCCTCGGGTGGAGAAAAGCTCTGGCGTTTGTCCAGCGACGGGGATGGCACCCTGGGACAAGCTCCGGGTTGAGCCGTGATACCTCACGAGTGGATTATTGTAATGGTAAATTATTGGACGTTAAATCTACGTCATGGAGTCTCGTCTTTTATCGCAACGCCCGGGGAACAAGAGCCTGCAGACACTTCGACCGGACGTGTCATTCATTCTCTCTTCCTCGATTTTCACTGCCACTGCAGATATATTATATATTTTTTTATATCCCACTATCCGGGTGAAAGCGTGAATAAGTGCATCGCTCATTTTTCATCAGGATTATGCAAATTCATGAGTTAGCAGTACCGCGATTAAGTGATCAAAATCGCGAGCTCTACTCATTCCACTCTAAATCGATCATTCAAAAATATTTCATTTCCTTAAATCATAGATAATCGTTTTCACTCGAAAATTTATAGAAATTCGAATGGATTAAACGTGTGACGAATACATCCCGTAAAGTTCTCCCGATCTCAAGTGTCCTCTCCCGACTCATACCGACTCCCAGGTTGAATCTTATTTTAACCCGCAGGATTACGTAGAAATTACCCACCTTACCATAATTGAAATCCCAGGACGTAGACTTTTTGCCTTCGGAGTCCCTTAAATAGGATTTCTTTTTACCCCAGGTGTTATGAGAATTTAATTAACCCGCCATCCGAATACCTGAATTTTTTGCGCACATGGTCTTCCGTTGTCTTTCACTCGGACAATTCCCTTTGTGGTTCTGCTTTTAATTTTTCCCCTCGCGAAATTAGCTTTCCCCTCATCCCCCCTCTTGAGTTTGCACTGAATTCATTGGAATCACTGGAGTATTTTTTTTTTAAAGAGAGTAGACAACGAGGGAACAGACATTTCTCTTCTCGCTGACGTCTCGGATCCTTGTAAAAGTTCTATCGGCGTGTCCTTGTGTGGCCCAGACCAAATAACTCTCCCCCGGCGACGTACCCTGTCGTTTCAACGGGGGTTAGAAAACCTGGGGGTGGTTGGGGGGGTGGTGGGGAACAGTGAGAGTATAGAATCTCGTGTTCCACACTGTGTGCACTTTGCCTCCCAACACGAGGTGACTTATAGCGAATGCTTCCGGCTAAGTGAACAACCGACAGTCAAACTACTCTTTCTGAAATTTCAAACTCGATACTTACTGAGAATTTTCAAGTTATTGGGGGAATGGGTATTTTATCCCGGAGTCGATCCTGATTCGAGGTGACTGGCCCTCTTCATGTGGAATGACACTCGTTCACTGTAAATACGGTATAACACGAGGAAAAATACCGATGTATATTCAAAGAGAATCTGCACGCAGAAAATTCTTTATTTTCGGAAGTCATGTTGCTTTTTGAAATTTAACATTTTTCTGTCGTTTATTAAATGAAAAATAGAAATTATATAAATCCAATTAATTTGATTAATCGGAATTATGTAATAATAAAGTCGGATTGCATATGAATGTAAAGGGGGCGTATTTCCAATCTTCCAATCTATTCACTTTGTCATCAGCATTCGGTACTCCTTGGACTTGAGATATTCCAAGCACACTCCAACGATTAAACAAAATTAATTAAAGGACTGGTATAATCTGCGATGAGGATCGGACGAGGTGATTCGTTTGATGGCACAGTAAAACTCGAACAACCCACGCAAGGAGATTCTCGTAATTAAACTCCCTACAAACAGTTCAAAAATCCATCAAAAGGATTTGATAGAAGAACCCGCTGACGTGTCGAGAAGAAGTTCACATGTATTATTCCAAGTACCTGAGAGCTTTCCGCTGTACGCAGGAGTGATGAAAACTCCAACCAGTAAAAAATTGATGAAGCGCAGCCGCTAATCGCAAAACATCGCTAATTTACGATTAACGAACGGAGGGAAAACGTGCCCTAAAGTTTCTGAGACAATTTGTGAGAGATTAATGCATGAAACTTAATGCCCACGAGGTTCAGCCTAGTATTTCCATGAAAAATTTATTTTACCCCCTCAAATTGATCATTTAAAATCAACCCTAATTAGCTATTCCAAATCCGCGGTATTTCCAGTGAAAACAGCATCCCAACGAGTTATCATTTATGGAATTAAAAGGAAATAGTAATTTTTCGTCACAGGATTTTTCCCAATTACGCGAGTTTTCGCGTGGTTTTTCCAAAAAAAAAAATCGTGATAGGCTGATGAATAAAAATGAATGCTGAGGGGACTGAGATGATTTTAAATATTGGAAATCCGATATTTTTCTGGAATAACGAGGTGGAATAAAAAAAAAAGTGAAAAATGGAGATTGTTAATATTCTTGACTGTTGCTGAAACTTCATTACAATACTCATTGTTACTGCACTATGGTAATAAATGAAAGACCAAGAGAAGAGAGCGATTGGGGATGGGGTATGTGTCAGTTATTCCATTTGCTCTCTATTTTATACTCCAGGGCACTGAGGAGTTAGCATTATATTGTAACTGCACTGGAGTACACCGGGGTGTACCGAGTGTACCGTGAATCCTAAAGCGAATGCACTGGCCCGAAATGAACTAAGGTGGTGGACAGGGAGATATTCGTGGTCATTATTTAAAGGGAAGGTTAATATTTCACTCGTACTTGTCCCCACTACGATCCCAAGTGCGGTTTAACACAGTACGTTATAGCCTTCACGTTCGGCTTTTTCATTCTCTTTTCAACTCGCGAAAAAAAAAAGTCCACTAAAAAGTGTTCCATAAAATATTGTACTCTTCCACGTCGCCAATGACTAATTGCAAAATTTCTCTATTTTCTTTATTATAATTATCCAGAGAAATAAGATTTAACTATTCGAATAAAAAACGGAGAATTTAAAAAATGGAATTGATATTGTATGGAGAGAATGGAGGAAATTGTTTTATTTTTATTCTTTTTTGTTCTGTGAATTTACAACAAATTGTTATTTATCCCAGTTTTGTCGTACGTAACTATCATATATCGACAATTGTATATAGGACTTGTCTGTCACCAGTTACAGCACCGAAGAAAGTTATAAATTTATATAAATACCGGAAGTTGTATGGATAATTTTTCCTAACAATCTCTCGTGAGAGCGTTTCCCTATAAAACACTAGTATTAGTAAAACCTCCATTATCGTAATATGAGATAATGCAATAAGTGGAAGCCCTGGATGTCGAGTAGCCATTGCATGTGGTAATGCAATACCGTGAAAATCTTTACGATCGAGACTCCCCCGTTAAAAAATTGCGCACGAGAAAAAAAAAATAGATACATACAATTTTCGTTCAGCAATCATTTACCACGTGTCTATATTTTCCAAGAAGATATATATCTGGAAGAATTTGAAAAATGCATCAGCCTTCCAATTTACCCGAGGACAGATAATGAGAGTAACCCACCTGTCCCTCTCGGTAAATCTTTCCCCATTAACCTCGAGATTATGCGGGTTATTACCACCGCCCTGTCCACTAATTCCATTTGTCCCCGAAATATTATCCCCGAGAGACTATTGATAATCAATATACATCCGTCGATACTTCATCCCCTAGATTTGATGAGCTCGCGCCCCAGAAACTAGCGAAATGAAGAACAAATTTGCTGTCCAAGGCATCGCCTTTCGCCTCATCAGTAGCTCATGATTCGAGATTTACATTCGTTAATTAACATCCACCCACCCACTGGGATGGCCCATCACGTTTGAGAGATTATTTCGATTGCACAGCGATCGGTTGGACCGAATCCCCCGGATATTGACCCTTCATATTCCGATAGTTCTATATTTGATTGCGATATTCAGGTTCGTGGATAATCGAGCGAATCGGAGAGAGCTATACCGTACCGGAAGCGTTTGTTTGTACGTATTATGTCATTTATTCAGTCGAGGGGAGAGTACAAAGAATACAGTGCACATACTCCGGTGGAAGTACTTGCTGCAAGTGCCCAGATCAAAGCAAGAAAACCCAGGATGAATTTAACAACGTTAAAACACAGAAAGAATCACTGCTCGTTGTGGAGAAAACACATGCAATAATTACACCTGCAATTACCAGGGTAACGAGTGCATTTGGCATCATCAAAGTGATGTGATTCGACCCAGAGCTTTCGACCGCATGAATTTTATTCAGAAAACAGTGGAAAATGGTCTCGAGATCAAAGAAGATAAATGTGTGATCAGTGAACTGAATACTGAGCGAATTAATTCAACATCGTTGAGAAGTCTCAGTATATCTTTCACCATTCGTCTTTAATTATCCAATCGAGTTATTTCTAGGTAATAGATGAGATTCAGAATATATTTCCGTATCACTTGGTGGCGTGATGATTTGTCAGAATTAAAATGCCTTTGACAGGGATACCTCGGTAATTTAATAACGAGAATTTTTTTTTGGAAAAAATCAGTTTATTTTCCAAAAAAAATTGGAGTAAATTCCTCTAGTTGAGAAAAATCAATGCATTAAACAAAAATACATCAGATTTTCTGTGTCAAAAAAATAATGAGTGAGACGTATCTACACAAATCAACAACTCCCATTTTTTACAATAATTTCCTTAATCTAAAGTTAAAAAAAAAACATCTAGTGATGGCTGAAGCCACCGAAGTCGTGGCCGCCGTAGCCGAAGCTGGAGGCGTACCCTCCGTGGTGTTCCTCATGGGCATGGACGTACACCGGGTAAGACTCCTTGACAACGTACGGCACCTTCACGGGGTAGGGTACCTCCTTGTGAACGGGATAGGGTACCTTGACGGGAACGTGAACGGGGTACGGTACCTCGTAGGGAACTTTGACTGGTACCTTGACGGGGTAGGGCACGGGTTTTTCCACTGGTACAGGTATGTGTTTTTCCACTGGGACTGGATAGGGGGCAGGGACGTGATAGGGCACTGGTCTGTCGATGGGAACTTTGACGGGAACGGCCACTGGCACTGGCACGTGTTTTTCAACAGGGTATGGCGCTGGCACGGGTACAGGAACCTCTCGGTGAATCGTGATCGATGAGATGTGTCCGCTGTCACCACCAGACAGGGAATTCTCCAGACCACCAAGTTGACCACCTTCCAGTCCATGACCCAGTCCTTGACCCAGTCCTTGACTTAATCCGTGACCTAGGCCATGTCCTAGCCCGTGACCTAGCCCGTGACCTAGTCCGTGACCCCCGAAGTCACCGAAATCCAAGTGATCGCCGAGCTCAAGTCCACGTTTCGTTTTTCCATTTTGGGTTGATGACTCGGTAGCTATCGCCATCGCCAGAGGCAACAAAATCAACGCCTGCAGAACAGAAATTTTATTCCGGTAATTCAGTTCTCAAACGCAAAAAAACAAACTTTTCCAAAGACGTATTTTTTTTTTACAAAAAATGGATAAAATCCATATTTTATATATTTTTATAAATATATATTTATGAACTCCATTTTTTAATGATCAATACCAATTTTAATTATTCATTAAAAAAATCGGTTGCGTCGTAAAAATAAAATCGGATTAATTAATCCGATTAATTTCGTAAAAGTGGGTTCGAGCTTTCGTTATCGTTGACTTTCAAATCCAATTACCTCAGTCAGTAAAATTTAATCTATCCTACACGCATCTACAATAACAATAATGCAGCCAACACCATGATAAATTCTTTCAACACACGACTAATTGCATAACCCGCCTAATCACTCAGTTGAATCATAACCATGTTAACGATGTTCTTACGTCGGCGACTAGAATAATCATAGCGAAAACACCTCCCATGGAGTTCACCACGGATAAATAACTCACCTTAAAATGCAACATACTCTAATCGTCAGTAGTTTCTGGATTACTGAATCGGCATTGTGCTAATCACGTGAATTTATACCGGGGACTTTCGCTGGGGCACAAGGCCCCCTCCCCCCGGAAAAACACAGGACGAGTTTAAAGACCAGAAGGAAGTGCCCAGGGTGTTCACCCGGAGTAATTGTAAATAGTGCAACTCGATGTTTTCCCACGCGAAAAATGATACCCGATGGTACCGTCTCTTTCCGGCGAGATCAATTGCTCAAGTTATTTTTCAAACGTCGTTGATGTTTTCAGGTAATTGTACACTGACATAAAGCAACGTGATAATAGGGGGAGAGGTCAAGCAGCCAACTGTGCAAATACCTCCTAATTCACGAGAACTCGTGGAGTAATGGGCGATGGGTTTGCAGAGATGGCATGTTGAACTGTGGGACTTTCTCCCGTCGCCACACCGCGAACAGACACGGCTCTGTGCATCGCAATTGACCGATTCCCGGCTTGCCAGGTGGTTAATTAAAAAAAAAAAAAAGATGGATTGATGTGATGTGCCACGAGTAATTATCCTGCATTGATTGCACAATAATTAGATAGCCCGGGGTTGCGATTTCTCACGTTCAATCGAGTTGAATTGTCGTCAGTGATTGTTTTTCGTCAATTGTGAAAGGCAAAACATTTTATTTCAATTAATTAATTAACAAAACGCCGATCAATAGTCAGGAGGTGAAACTCCACTGGTGGATCAATCGAATTCTTGGAGAGGACGGTGATATTTTTGATAATATCTATTTATAAATTTTCAATGCTCTTACCGGAAATTTCAGTGTGAAATTTTGATCAGTGGGTGATATGACGGGGGAGTTATCGAAATATCGGGGCGGATGCACCGGGAAAATTTATTCATGAGAATACTCTGGACAGGCACTCGAGACCTTTCCCCACTGTTGCGTAAGACCGCATTTGCGGGTAGTGGAGCATAAATGCAAACCCCACGGAAAACACTGGTCTATTACTCTTCCTAAACCCGACAGGCAATGGAAATAGGGGAATGAGAGTCAACCGGAAAAACCGAGAAAAGACACGTGTGGTACAATCATTGTTAATGCCACTGACAATCAGGGTGAATTGCCTCTTACGGTGAAAATTCAATTTTTCACTCGCCATTCACTGGGCCATTCATTCAATCTTCGGGCTGATGTTCCACTTGATTTCACCACCAAGGACTCCTGGTGCTCCGGATGTCTAGCATATTTTTTATGTCGATGATTTATTGAATGAATCATAATGGACGGATAATTTTAAGGGAAAAGGGCGTTCGATTGTACCTGGTGTCTCTGTACTTGCGGCCATCATTGATTTACCACCGTTTAAGTCTATATTTCAATGTCGTAAATAAAGGTGTTTTCCGGCGATGCTTGCTATCAATGAATGAGCATTTTGAATGCACTGCTTTTCAAATTCCACCGACAAATTCCAGTCACGCACACGTCGGTAATTACTACTGGTACTCGTGAGGGGGCACCTTTCGGAAATTTATGCGAGATATTAACCTATTCCCTGGGGTTTAGATTTTATCTCGGATATTCCATGATATTCCATGATATTCCATGATATTCCATGATATTCCATTTGGCATTCGTTCGTACATTTGCTGGTGAATCGATGTATTTTCAAGGGATTATTTCATTCAATAATTTTTATTATTTAAGAAGTCAAAAACCTGCGAAACAATTCTGCCATTGAAAAAAAAATCAAAAGATTGTGATTTTTGATGAATTTCAGATTAATGTTTTTAAAACATGTGCATGAAGGCAACCACCTGTTTCCTGTTTTTCCATTAATAAAATAAAATTGAGCATTTGAATTTTATTACGAATATATATTTTTAGTGTCTAAATAAAATCCGATTGATCCGACTCATAGAATCCGTCCCAAAGTGACGAGCAAAGATTTGCGATTCTTTCCACTGTCCGATTTTTCCACCCATCAATGCGATATGGAGAGCACTATAAAATTCCATTCGAGCATATCCGTGAATCTAATAGAATTATATTCCCAGATTAACTGAGAACCCCCGGGCTTTGGTTAAAAAGTTATCGTTTTCGACTTAATCCAGCGGGTAGAATAGTTATTGGATTGAGAGCTTTGGCCACGGGAAAACTCCATTACTCTCAAAGGCCCTCATGAAATACGGCTAATAATTCATTCGTATAATTGCGGAATAACTCTAAAGCTCGTTTGAAAGGTATTTATCCGAGGAACAATGAGAAAGTGTACTTTAATGGATTGTAATATCCCAGTGAATCCCGCTAATTCCGCATAATGAGAGTCATGAAAGATCCGGAATAAACGTTTTGGAAAAACAAAAGCGGCAAGAGGAAGAGGCAAAAAGAGTCACTGAAACACTCCAACAAAGGATTACGAAATGAACGAGGGATAAAACTGAAATATTGAGAAACTCGAATAACTGAAAACTATCCCAGAGAGTCGGAGTGTCAGGGGGTGGAGTACAAAATCCGTATGAATAAAAAAAAATAAAGAGAAATAACAGCAGTTACCGGGAATCGTGTATGCAACAGAAACGGAAAAAATAGTAATAAGCACGGAGAGACAGGACAAAGGAGCCGGTGAAAACCCACCGAAACACACGTACACCTACACAAATGGACAATTCCTTTCCTCTCGTATATCAACTTCCTCTGACGCCGCCTTTCTTACTATTTTTCTACCATCGCGCCTGGTTTCGTCGTTTGACGGGACTGAATGTTAAGACAGCCACGTACGTATAAAAGCGGGGGTAGCCACCGGAGAATCAGTGTGCTCACGGGCTTTCAACATGGACAGCACTGGAAAATTCAAAGTGAGTAAAGAAAATCATGTGGTCAATGTTCAATCACACCCGATCATCCAATCCTAACCAAACTATTCAAAATTCCCACCATTTTTTTTCTATTTTGCACTTGAAAAAAATACCAAGTGGTATAAGGAAAGTAAATCTTTTGGAAAGCGAGAAATGAATTTAGAAAATAATTGTCGGCACTTTTTATAATTGAAAATTTTCATTGTGTCAATATTTTTTTGTGTTGATATTTTAACAGGATTTTAATGCAATTGAAATTGAAATTGTAATTTTCCCAGGTTTTGTTCCTCTGCGGCTTATTGACAGTGATCTTGGCGGAGAAGCCGAAAGAACCTGAGGACAAGGCGTCAGCATCCTCTGACAAGTCAAAACGTGGTCTGGAGTTGAGTCTTGGTGATCATGGGCTGGGCGGATTTGGTGGTCATGATTTCGGTGGTAGTTTCGGTGGTGGATTTGGTGGTGGGTTTGGCGACCACGGGCACATTGAACACATCAAGGCAGTGACAATCACAAAGCACGTGCCAGTCCCAGCGCCTTATCCAGTCCACATAGAAAAACCAGTGCCCTATCCCGTCAAAGTACCAGTTAAAGTACCAGTCGATCGTCCATACCCAGTCCACGTGCCAGCGCCCTATCCAGTTACCGTGGAAAAGCACGTGCCCTATCCAGTGGAAAAACCAGTTCCATACCCAGTGAAAGTACCTGTTAAGGTGCCCGTGAAGGTGCCCTATCCGGTGGAGGTGCCGGTGAAAGTGCCCTACCCCGTTCACAAACCCGTACCCTATCCAGTCAAAGTACCAGTGGTCGTGAAGGAGCCCTACCCCGTCCTCATCAAGGAGCACCACCACGGAGGTGATTTCGGAGGATTTGGAGGCCACGACTTCGGCGGCTTCGGCCACCACTAGATTAATTAAACTCGTTAATCACGAGATGTATTCATTCGATCTCTGATAAATTCACTATCAATTTCTAATCAACAATTATTGCAATCTGTAGTTATCAATGAATAGATAAATAAATTCAATTCACTCGGTACTTTATCCATTAATTAATAAATTCACAGCTGATGAACAATTATGGTAACGATTATTTTAACAAAAATACATTCATCCGTGCGTTTTTGTCTTGTGATTATTTCAATGGAATAATTCACACGGTATTTCTTAATATCGAGACAAAGGAGACTATCGAAGTGGTTATCAAAGGTTTGTTAATGAGGGATGTCTGACTCAACTGCTCATTAACCCCGAAGCAGAGAAAATTCCAAGGTGCCCCGAATGTTCCCACAATTCCGCAACACCAGCTCCTCTCTTTTTATTCACATCCCAGAGTTGCATTCACTCATTATTTATCGATCGATAGTGTTGTTTTACCTATTGGATCTCCCACAAGTACCCGGTTTGTTACGACATACCGTGGAAGCCGTTTCCGGGCGGGAACGTAACGGTTTCCGTTCAATGGAAATTGAAAGTACCTGAGTGACGAATAAATGAACGAAAAATCGACGACTTGAACTGTACTTTCATTGAAAAGCCAGGAACTCTCTTCTACAGCTCCCGTCACGTAGACTCTAACATTAAATTGAATTGCTTTCAATATTTATTATATCTGCGAGCAGCAGTAAAACTGGCCATTTGAGTTCAATAAAATTTGTTTGATTTAGATAACAGTGATTTTTACAAAAAGACACAAGTGAATTCTCATAATCCAGTGGATCAAGGATAATCGAGTCATGAATTGAAAAAACCATTCACCATTTATTTATTTTTCCCCATTTCTTGGAAGATCCAATGATTTTCTCGACAATCCTCAATTTACTGTAATTATAATTTGATAAAAAAAAAATAATAAAACGAAATGTGATTTTTGAAAAATAAATTTGTAGCTCTTGCTTTCGCCTGCACCAACTCGCAGGTGTAATCACGTTTAATGATCTAGGAAGCTAACGCAAGAGGTGAATAGATTTTTCTGCGGATTAATCCCGCACGGGAGAATAGAGCACTCGTCTAGACATCTGGAAGGTTTCTGAAATCCATGAATGAGTCAATCGGACGCACTCCTTTGGGCTTTTCGCCACAGAATTTCTTATCACCGCGGATTTCCATTCGAATGGTTTTGATGTACATTACCAAGTGAATGTACATTACACCACCCATCACTCGTACAGCCATGAGATTAGATAAAAAAAAATTTTGAGCGTGAGATTCGATCAGTAAAAATTGATAAGTCAAGCTTTTCGCGGTATCAGAGCAGTTGTAATTCTTTCCCCTCCCCGGAATTTCAAGTGACTCGTTAGTGAATCACATATTACACAGCCACAATCTGTATACTGTCGCAGATGTAATTAATTGCATCTGCTCGTGTCTAGAATCGTAAACACAAACTCCACGACCGGTAGAATAGAGCATCCTCCTTCTAAAGTTCTACCACATAGTACTGAACTTGTTACTCATTCTGTGTCCCCGTTAATTGAATCGTAGATCCTGGCAATGCGATTGGATTGGATCAAACACACAATTTCATTATACGTTTATTTTAGTTAAATTGCGGTGGTTGAATTCCATTGACGCTTGCTAATATATATCGCGATTAATCGAGTTATTCGCGGTGATTGGCGAGTTCCATTGATTGATAATTTGCCATTAACTTCATTGATCAATCCCTTCGGAGAATGATCGGTGGAGTTGTCCTGTTGGAGCTGTCGCTGATCGCAGCTCTGCTCCGAGGAACAATCGGCGATGTCTTGAGTGAGCCTTTTTTTTAATTTCTGCAAAAATTATAATTATCCTATTCTCCAAAGAGTCTCTACAATTACACGATTTTTTCAGGAAACTATTCATTTATTTATACCTATTAGCAATTTTTTTTTCACACGCAGAATTTTTTTTTCACACGAAGAATTTTTTTTTTCACACGAAGAATTTTTTTTTCACAAGAAAAATTTTTTTTCTCTGTAATTTCGCAGAGTGCAATCGACCCCTCAATTTTAGTTTTGACACGCATGCGAATGGTATAGCGGATGTTTACAATGGCAATTTAATAATTAAATTGGATTATAAGAAAATGGAATTTTATGGATATGAGACGAGCAAATTCGTGACGATTCGAGGTAGAGATGTCACCGTAGAATTTGATGGTGAGCATTCGAATAAAAAAGAAGATTGAATAAAAAGTCTAATGTGAATGACGTTGTAGGCACTTACACGGACAAATACATGCCCGCATGGATTGATCCTGAAATTCGAGTGTTCAAGGATATATTCAACGAAGGAATAACGGGGAATGCCCAGAGGCTGCCTCTGAATGACACGACGTACAAGATTTACAATTGCCGACTGATGCTTCTACCCGTCGCTGAAGAAAAGTGTGTAAAATCCCCATGACATTGACATCCTTTTCCTTTTCCGAAATTTCCAGTACGAGCCCCTGATTTAAAAGACATCCCGAAATTTGTGTCAACGGTTTTTAAACGCCTCCTGCCAAATTGATAATAACAAGAATTTAATTAGCAGTCCACCGATACCTGACGACGAAATAATTTCCCGACCATCCACCCTGACGATCACGAGGAAATCCGTGAGAAGATTGGCTGAATCATGCCTCGAATCGCACGTGTGTATCAAATACGAGACGATAAATCAATGGGAATTCATTGAGAACTCAAACACCGAAAAATTCTGTTTCTCGCCTGATGGGCCAGGTTCACTAGCCGACCTAGTGGCACGTGTACCTTCCGTCCCGAAAGCTGACCTCGGAGTGTTCCAGGTGATGTCACACATCAATTAACAAATTTCCATGATAAATGGCGAGGAACTAATTTGATAACCATCTTCGTAGGATATTATAAATAAAATTGGAGACGTTGCCCTCGTTGAGGGTATTGCTGCCCTGGATCAGGTTAATGGCTCGGTAAAGTTGCCGAATATCACGGAAAAATTTACGACTGGCAAAGGCATCTTCACGGCACACGGTCTTCTCGAAACGACAGGTGGAATATTTCGGTTCGTATTGTTCTCGCAACGGCTCTGATTACCCCAAATTAATATTTAATTGTGATTCTTCATTCGTATCGTCTTCCACCTTTCTAGGGACCTGACAACACTCCAGAGGAGTGAAAACATAGAAATAACAAGAGCCGGTAATAAATACAGCGCCTCTGCCAGTATTCAAATGTCAACAGCAGAATTGCATTTTTCTAATTACAAGGTAATTTTCCAGCGATTACCCTGGATTGATAATTATCGATCGGTCTATTTTCAGCTGAGCTATGGGATCATAAAGTTAGATGGTGAATTTGATATTCGTGTTGCGGGAGTAAAACTGCAAGCAGCGGCTTCCATCGACTATTCCCAAAAGCCCTGTCTCCCCAGAATAGAGAAGATCAAAGTTTCGGAATTAGGAAAGGTCGACGTCGCCTTCACCGGGTTAGGAATCTTCAACTCTGTCCTCGGAACCGTTGTGGATGGTATAATAAGGTTCTTAAAGGTTCTCCTGACGAGACTGCTGGAGGAGGAACTGATGAAGATGGCTGGTGATGCTTTTAAAGATTTCGATTGCGAGAAATTCAGGCCAGGATGACGCGTTATTGTAACACTTGTTCTGGGACGAAATAAAAGCGATGATAATTTTTTATTATGCGAATCATTAATCTTCATTATCTTTTATTCTTTCGGTCTTTCACTCCGGTGAGTTCCTATTGTCAATACGCAAATCGAAATTAAATAATCGAAATTAAAATACAGGTGAATGATCAGATAAACCTGTGGCATAGGTAGGAATTAATTATCATTATAAAACAGGGCGACGATAAGGTGGCTTCAGTTTTAAAATCGGTGGTTGAAATTGTGGATCGAATTCTCGGCGCGATTTAAAGAAAAAATAATAAAATGATTTCAAAAATTATTTTTTTCGAGATTCACTTGCTTCTTGCTCTTCTTCAAGCGGTTTTCTCTGATGTTCTAAGTAAGCTGTCGATTTTTTTATAACTCTTCATTGTTGTTAAGTAATTAATATTCCGTGGAAATACAGAATGTCAGCTGCCAGGGATTTTCAGGATGAACGAGTATTCAAATTCATCACTGACTATTCTCGACGCAGATGTACGTCTGAATTATAATCGTCTTAAGATTTATTCTTTCGGAGACAAGAAATTCATGACGATCCGAGGGGAAGATCTCAACCTCATAATGAAGGGTGAGCACTCGTGAGGAAATGTAATTAACCCTCGCTAATTGCTTCAATTAATAATGACGAATAATTTTTATTGGTGATTGATTTTCGACGATTACTCAACGATTTATTTATTAAATTGATATTTAAAAAATATTATTTCACTTGATATCATTATCGTATCATTTAAATCGTAAAATCGAATACTCGATTGTAGGTTATTACGCAGAGACTAATGACCCGAGGGAAAGACCTAGAACAATCAAACTGAATATCAATTACGAATTAACTGGTGCTGCACAGCGAAAATTCATCCATGACGGAGCAGACTCGATTTACAACTGCAGATTAATTCTGCAGGTTCAGACACCGCAGTTGTAAGTTTCAAAGCCCTTCATCGATTACCTAGTGATGCATAAAAATCAATATCTTTTTCCAGAGAACTGCCTCCCAGAATGTCCCTAAACAGAATCACAAGATTTGTAGAATCTTGTTTAGAAAATTACGTGTGCGATAATTTGAGGGAAGGGAGAAATTATTACATCGAGGATAAACCCAAGAAAAAATTTTGCTTCCCCTCTGGAAAACCTGGAGCATTTGCGGAATTGGAAGAAGCTACTGGAAACACCGAGGCTAAGGGAGACTTCGGATCTTTTCAGGTACCCCCCCAAAAAAAACACTACAATAGCTTTTCCAAAAAGTTGCAAGCGAGACGGGAAAATGATAAAATTACTCTATTGGTCCATTTTCCTCCGAATGGAGTGACAGGTTATGAAGGAATGAAAGACTCATTTTTCAGGGAATTATGAATAAAATAATCGACGCAAGTCTGGAGGAATTGATGAATGTCTTGATTGACAAAGACGGTGCATTCACTTTTCCAAATATCACCCACAAGTGCTCAGCTGGGATCAGCTTTGTGCAGGCCAGAGCTAGACTGGAGATAACAGGGGGAAAGCTCTAGTAAGAATTTATTAATTCGATTTTTCCTCACGAGTTTTGCCATTATGAAAATTTTTCCAGTGGTCTGTCAAACCTACGACGACATGGACCCTTCAAGTTAGAAAGATCTGGCCAAAAATTGATGTTCTCCATGGGTGTAAAACTGCCAGTCGCACGTTTGGAATTTCTGAATTACACATTCGCTTATGAACCCGCAACTTTCAGTCTCGCCAAGAAGGCATTCAATCTTTTTATGGACGTATCACAGAGAGAAACTATAAACATTAACGGCGATATCATACTGACGATAAGTAGAATGAAATTGTCGGCAGAAGCATTTCTTGATTACTCGAAGACGCCCTGTGTCCAGAGGATAGACAAAATAAAAATACTGGAAGTCAGTGATATCGATTTGACCCTCACGGGTTTGGGGCTCGTAACGTACATCATTCAGGAAAAATTCAACATCATCGCAGCTATCTGCACTAAAAATATTGCACGGATTCTGGAGAAATCATTTTTAGGAGCTATTGAAAGCCACGTGCCAGACTCATATTGTGAAAAATTCAGGACTTAGAAAATAAAAAACTTTCGGAAAAAAACATTCTCATATATTTTGAGAAATTCTCGTTGCCCTCCTACCCCCTCAATAATATTTTCCCTTTTTTTCTCATTTCTTTCTCATTCTTCTTACAAAACCGAGCAATTGTCATTAGCCGTCGTAACACATTACGTTTCCATTAGAAAAAAAACCTGCCATTACACCGAGAAAGTAATAATGAATGATCTTAGTATTATGCCTCGTAACTTTCTACTCTGCATTCATAACGCATTTTCCAGTAATATAACACAGCAATTCACTTACACAACGAGTCAATTAACGTGTAATAAAGTCTCCTCAGGTTTTAGAATAAAAATTTATCTAAAATTAATGATTTCCCTCGACATTAGCCCCATCCCCTGAGTCTTTAACTGGAGAATCCCGAGCAGGCTCCCCAACTTCTCCAGGATTTCCCTTCACTTGACCTTCACTGGAATTTTTAATTTCACTGGTTTGCGAAGGAGAATTACCATCACAACTATTGATGGACCCCTTGAGCGCAAAGTACTCATCCACAGAGCCAGTCGGTTTGAATTTATCTTTCTCATCATTATCCTCGTTTACCCTCGGACTTTCTTTGGGTGAATTATTCAATTTGGAAAGTCTCTGCCGTTCCCTCAGCCGCTTCCTTATCTCAGATTGAATTTTCGACTCCTTAATTACATTTTGTACATTATCAGTCTGATAATAACGAGTGGCCCATGTCTCATCGCTGCACCTCTTGGATCCCTGAAGCTCTACAGATTTCTCTCCAGATTTATCCCTAGCCTGGGGAACACTCTCTTCAGGTTCAATATTGTACATGTCATCGGGATAATCATCCAGATCAATAATCTCCTCGAACTCCTTCAATTTATCATCACCCTGAGAATCGTTCTTCTTGAATTTCCCCAGCTCCTCTCGAATAACTTTATCAGGTCCCTCCTCATTTTTTGCCTCCTCAGATGACCCGAGTTCTCCCTCCTCGAGGGGCTCGGATTCCCTCTCCCTGTTAGCAGCCTCTAATACAACATCTGTTGCTCCAGGACATTCTGAATCACTTCTGACTCGTAACTGACGTCTCCTCTTTAATTTTCTGAAGGTCTGTTTCCCCGACTCCTTGGGGACTTCTGTAATCTCGCGAATCAAACTCCCACTGGTCCTGGAATCTTCATTCATTCCTTTACGTATTTCTGCACTCTTGGTTGGCTCGGGTTCACCCTCAGTGTTCACACGTGGGGCAACTGTTTCCCGGGGCTTCTTCTCGGGTGTTCTTTCACTCTCGAGTTTCTTATTCACGCGTTCGTTGAGATTCTCGGATTCACTGTCACTGGATATCAGCTCGATCGTCGGTGTGGGTCTCACCAGCATCACGACGTCCTCATCTTCACCTATTTTTTCCACTAGAGTCTGCGATGTCTCCAAGGAAAGACGTGAGACCTCAACGTGGGATTTATTCTTGACTGTTAAAACTGAGTTGAGGGTGGCTTTCAAGGCACTCCTGTTCGAGGCCAGTTTCTGGTCTGAGTCTGGGGTCGGGATTATGTCCTCCTCCTTGCGAATGAGGGCCCTGATTGCTCGAGCTCTCATTTCCAGCTCCAGGAGGTCTAACAGGCTCTCTCCTTCCTTTTTTCCTTCCTCATTCTTGTGCTTCTCCTCTTTTATCTTGATGTGAGGGTCCACTCGGACTCTACCTCTGCGAGGTTTTCCTGGAGCTTTGGATTTTCGTTTTGTCTTGGCTCTTTTCGATTTTGAGCCTGGCGACAGGGGCTCTTGCTTAACGTTCGGATCGTCATCCGTTAACCATTCTTCAGTGTCTGATATGATCTCTAGGGATGGCCCAGAGCCATCCGAATCGCTCGTGTCAGAGGAACCTGACATCGGTGTACCGTTTAAAATTGATAATATTCGAGTTTTTGACATACCACACAGCTCACTCGCACACCATTCCTCCAACTCACTCAACTCCGTCTTCTGTAATTCAAAAAATTTACTCATTAATTTTTTTTTATCCTCGATGCAGTGCGAGGGAGAAGCAAAAGCTTCTGACCTTCAAGACCTGTGGCAACATCATCCTAAGTTTCTCTATTTTCACTGATTTGAATAATTGTTTTGCCACTTCTGTGCGATTTGACAGGTAATCCTTGATCGGCTTCAAGTCCCCATCGCTGTCACTGCTGTCATCCGATGAGAACGAGGAAGTACTGGAGCTGCTGCTGGACACCTTCAACATAAAATTCAAATTCCAATTTTATTGAATATCAAACAATAAATTCTTCACGAGAGGATGTCTATCTTCACGTTTTACAATGAAAACATAAAGGAAGAAAGGAAACATGGACAGTATTTTTTTATAAAAAAAAAACAATAATAATCTTCGTAGTTACCCCATCCCTGGAGACTGACTTCTTCAATCTAGACCTGACGTCACTCATCTTCACTTATTTTTTAATTCAATAAAGACAAGATTCAAACGATCACGACATGTTTTTCAGTGTATTGATGTTTATAACCTGAAAATTTGTAAAACGCCGGTGGCTCTGACGGGAGAATTTTTCGTCTTACCCCCCAGAGGGTACAAAACCGACGGATTATCAGAAATTTACTTGATCGACACTAGTTACATGTTATCACGTGTTATCAATTGGACTTGGCTTCTCCCCTTCCACTGGCAACTGCGCTGAGCATGTGCACTTGATAGAACTTTACTTCCCGGACTACTATTCGGAGGCGCTGATTGACTTTCAAATCGGCCTCACCAGGGGAATACGTGATAGTCTATCCAGTTATATAGAGATCAGTGACTTGGCGCCACACCCCCATTGCGTGTGGCACCCTCCCTCTCTTGGGGTGCAGTACTACGATGTCGCTGGGATCACTTGCACCCCCCACTGAACCTCTACTTCAGTCAATCCTCTTTGACCCCACTCCTCATTTTCTGCGCAATAATCAGTAAAACTGCGCATGCGCGACCGTTTAACATTCAAGAATAAAAACTGGGGTTGTGAATTTATTCAGTTCTCTATTGGCCGGTTTGAGAAGGACTGCCATAGTAGAGATATTCTTTTTGAAAAAGTCTAATTAACCCTGAGCGCCTGCGTGGAATTAAATTTTAAGTTGACAAAATCCTGAAGTTTTTTATCAACTCAACAATGTCGTACTGCGCCCGTATTTTACGCGCACAGGTGAGCGCAATTAATTCTCTAATCACGTGCCATGATAATTTGCATTTAGACAATTTATATTTTTAAACGTCAAACGAGGATGATCTATTTGGCGAACATTCCCCGATATTTCGACCATGAATTTGACTCGAATCCAAGGGCTTGACATTTGATCTCTCGTTACCAAAAACTCGGAATGGTTGACTACTTTTATTACTTTATTTTTATTTTTACCGTTTGATATCGGGAATTAATTCGGGATTCATTGGTTGATTGAGAAATTGTTGATTTGTGTCAGAGATATCCGAGCCAAATTCTCGGGGGACTAGTAACTTGGATTTTTAACAATTTCAGTGTCGAAATGAGAGGTCGGGGTTTATCTCGAGAGGAAAAATTTGGCCACTGCATTGCGAATAAAAATATATTCTTGACATCTTACATAACGTTTGCATATATAGGGCTGTATGATTCTGAGGTTATGTTCAGGTGCGCTAGGTGCGCATGTCTTTGGTTTCTAGGGTAGACCGTATTTTTTTTTAATCTAAAAATTCTCCATCAGCCAATGAAGGTGTCAATTTATCCACTCATTTATGGAATAAATAGAGTGAAATTTATTGACATTAATTGTCCATTGATATCGTCGTGGATATCTTCATCGCGAATTCCTCGATAACGATAACTCCTAGATAACGGAGATAACTGCAGGGTAGAACAAACACCTGAATGACATTACAATATATTGATTCAGCGACTCAGTGGAATTGCTGCGGACATCCAGCAAAGATGTTTCAGCATGAGTCCTTTGAGTTTTGCCGCTGCCAAGGTAGCTATGTCAAAATTCGATCGGAGTACGTACCTTCCATACGACAAGCTCGACGAGAACCTGAGGATCGTCAAGAAAAGGTAAATTGAGTTGAGCTGTTGATTTTCTCGACAGTGACAGATGTAAATTTCAGGCTGGGACGACCTCTCACGCTGTCGGAAAAAGTGCTGTACTCTCATCTTGATGAACCTGAAAAGCAGGACATCGTGAGAGGAACGAGCTACTTGAGGTTGAGGCCAGATCGTGTGGCTATGCAGGATGCCACCGCACAAATGGCTATGCTGCAGTTTATCAGCTCAGGTAGAATTTTTACAATAAAAAATATTCTTGATTGCGAATCAAATCCGTCAATCAACCACACGATTCATTCCTGATTCTCAGGACTGCCAAAAGTGGCCGTACCATCAACAATTCACTGTGACCACTTGATCGAGGCTCAAGTGGGCGGTGACAAGGATCTGGCGCGTGCAAAAGATACCAACAAGGAAGTCTATAATTTTTTACAAACAGCTGGAGCTAAATACGGCGTGGGTTTCTGGAACCCAGGCTCTGGTATTATTCACCAGATAATTCTAGAGAACTACGCGTTCCCAGGTCTGCTGATGATCGGCACAGACTCTCACACACCAAACGGTGGAGGCCTTGGAGGTCTCTGTATCGGAGTTGGAGGTGCAGATGCAGTGGATGTGATGGCGAGCATCCCCTGGGAGTTGAAATGCCCAAAGGTGATTGGTGTGAAATTGACAGGAGAGCTGAAGGGCTGGACGAGTCCCAAGGACGTGATTCTGAAGGTGGCAGGTATCCTGACGGTGAAGGGAGGAACTGGAGCGATCGTCGAGTACTTCGGACCCGGTGTCGACTCCATAAGCTGCACAGGAATGGCCACAATCTGCAATATGGGCGCGGAAATTGGTGCCACAACGTCAGTATTCCCCTACAATTACAGAATGCAGGACTACCTGAAGGCAACAGAGCGTGCAGACATTGCAGCAGCTGCTGACATGTTCAAGACTAGTCTCCTGAGTGCTGACCCCAATGCGAAGTACGATCAGGTAATTGAACTGGATCTCTCGACCCTGGAGCCTCACGTCAATGGTCCATTTACTCCAGACTTGGCTAATCCCATCACCAAATTGGGTGCCATCGCCAAGCAGAATGGCTGGCCTAATGAGATCAAGGTTGGACTCATCGGCTCTTGTACCAACAGCTCCTACGAGGATATGGCCAGGTGTGCCAATATCGCCAAACAGGCACTCAAGCACGGAATCAAGTCCAAGTCAACGTTCAATGTCACTCCTGGATCAGAGCAGATCAGGGCGACCATTGAGAGGGATGGAATTGCTCAGACACTTCGTGAATTTGGTGGAACTGTCCTGGCTAATGCCTGTGGTCCCTGCATTGGACAGTGGGATAGGCAAGATATCAAGAAAGGTGATAAGAACACCATTGTCACTTCGTACAATCGAAATTTCACCGGGAGAAATGACGCCAATCCTGCCACTCATGCCTTCGTCACGAGTCCTGAACTTGTTGTTGCATTATCTATTGCTGGAAGACTCGACTTTAATCCACTGAGTGATAAGCTTAAGGGAAAGGATGGAAAGGAATTCTTGTTGGATAATCCTTATGGTAATTGTTGGATAGAGATGATTTAATTATTTCAGAGTGGAAAAATGTTTGTGGTAATTGATGGATTGAAAAAATGTGTCGAATTTTCCCAGGCGATGAGTTGCCCTCTCGAGGCTTCGATCCTGGTGAGGAGACGTACAATGCTCCACCAGCTGATGGTAGCAAAGTCAAGGTTGATGTCGATCCCAAATCCCAGAGACTTCAGCTCCTCGAGCCTTTTGACAAGTGGGATGGCAAGGATCTCACTGATTTAACAGTTCTTATCAAGGTCAAGGGAAAATGCACCACTGATCATATCTCGGCAGCTGGGCCATGGCTCAAGTATCGAGGACATCTTGATAATATCTCCAACAATATGTTCATTGGGTAATTTATTTCCAATTAAATATGGAGACCAAAATTAAATTAATCCAGCCGATAAATTTCACGTTCTTAATACCAGAATGAAATTTCTCGCTTGAAACTTTCATAATTGAAATTTTAATTTCGCAACTGATTAATTTCTCTTGAGATTAAATTTCCTGGACCTGAAAAATCAATTTCTAAGGAATTAATTCCTGTATTAATTTTTTCACACCCTCTAAAAACTCCTCCCCGACGAATTTTTATTTCGTTGACTGCAGAATTAATTATGAACTCACTCGAAACTTTCGTAAATTGAATTTTAATGGTAAAACTTCTCCAAGATTTTTCGCGTCACTCTAAAAATTAATGTCACACCACTGAATCCTGGATTTACCCTCGCAGTGCTGTGAACGCTGAGAACAACGAGGTAAACAAAATAAAGAACCAGCTGAATAGCGAATGGGCTGGAGTGCCAGACGTGGCTCGTCACTACAAGAAGAACGGAGTGAGATGGTGCGCAGTGGGTGATGAGAATTACGGTGAGGGTTCATCTCGGGAGCACGCAGCCCTGGAGCCCCGTCATCTGGGAGGACGTGCCATAATTGTCAAAAGTTTTGCTCGTATCCACGAGACAAATCTCAAGAAACAGGGAATGCTGCCACTCACGTTTGCAAATGCCAGTGATTACGACAAGGTTCAGCCAACAGATAAGATCAGTCTCCTGGGACTGAAGGATCTTGCACCAGGAAAGGTACCGATGTTCTGATCGTTTGCCCTATTCGTCTATTTAATTATCTCATGTCTATTCCCTTTAAAATCGAGCCTTTAATCGAGCCTCACTTTCATTTCTAGCCTGTGAAAGCAGAGATCAAACACGCAGATGGAAAAGTAGACGCAATTACCCTGAATCATACCCTTAACGAGCAGCAGATAGGGTGGTTCAAAGCTGGATCAGCCCTGAATCGTATGAAGGAGATAGCGAGTGGTCGTTAGAACTGAGAGATATATTTCATAAAAGAATACTGATGAAAGCCAAACAAACACGCTGTCAACTCCGCGTAGGTTCATATTTAGATTACAAGCGAATTATAAATAAAAATTCATGAAAGGTATGCTCGAAGAGTCTCATGGGTTGCTGAGTAGTCCCCACGAGTTATCGTAAGCAATTCGATTGACGAAGGTACGTAGTAAATTGTTAAATGGAGTTATTGCAGAATTCATGTAATCACAATTTTTATTTAATATTCATTTAAACATTGTGTCTGATATTCTGCAATGAAAAATACGAAACAATGATGAGTCGTTTTGAGAGTGAAAATATAATGATTTAGTGTTGGGACAATAACAGAATTGCCTTCGGGTCTCATCAATCCTACGATTCTCATAGATGAAAAATGGAAAATTGTGTTGATCTGATGTCATGAGAGTTGGTGGTATCGACGCGTTCCATCATCAGCCTCGTCGTCGGTTCCCCTGGTTCCTCAACTTCAGAGAAATATAAATGACGATTATTAAATTTTATTATGCGATCGTGTGATAGACGCTCGTTTTGTAACTAAATTGTATACGTGAAGATCGTTGTGGGATCGAAGTGTTGAATGAACTTGTACATTATACATAATCATTTAGCAATACGTTTAAATTCCAGTTTGAGGAAAATAAAGAGAATAAAAAACAAGCCTGGAGAACAGGTGTGTTTATTTTACTGGGGGGTGCACCATGTGGGGATTTTCTAGCTGTTGCCTTGACAACCGCGTGGGTAAACAGTAGATATGCCGTCGAGTTGAGTTTATTTACAATGAGAGACGTCGATAGAGGGAAAATTTCGTTCATTTTACAATTGGGAGAATGTCGAGTGGTGAGTTTTACGTTTGTGTCACCGGGTCCATCGAGTATGGTCTCTTCTACGAGATTGACAATGCGTACTGCAAGTATCGGTATCACTTTGGTGATGATTGGAGCATTGTTGCTGTGAGTACTCCATTACTCAAATTATCTTTAAAGAACAATCAATTTTTTTTACCATTTATCCCCCACAAATAAATAATTGAAATAATTTTTTCCTTTTTTCTAATTAAATTATTCGAGACTTATAAATTTTATATTTTTAAAAGAAACTTCTTGGGGAATATTTCTGAAGCTAACGGAGACAGCGAAATTTTTGTTAAGACCTTTTTTAGAGATGCCATTCTTCTTTACAAAAAAGATTCTGAAAATAATTCGCGGTTTCTCTTCGATTCAGAGATATTCCACGCAGAGTCGACTGGGGAATAAGTCGACGTGTTACTCATTATCTCTACGCTACTGAATTGCTGTGTTTATTCTCATGTGCAACAACTAGGGAATTGAGGAGGGTATCACTCAGATGTGCAAGTGCAGCAATGACGCACGACGTCTTGCGGTGTGGAATTTTCCCGTGGATGTTACCTTCAAATCGATGAATCCCTACGGATGTGAGTTCAGTGGAAATTTTAATAAGAACGATTGAAATTACCTTGATGAATTTAATTAGTGAGCATAACGAACAGAATGGGATGAATGGAATTGAATGAAATTGAATGAAATTGAATGGATTGAATGGACCGAATAAACGAGAATGAATTGATCAAGATATTTCCAGGGCCACAAATTGTCCTCTCGATTTACGGTCTTGACGTCTTTGGCCACGATATCGTGAAGGGTTACGGGGTCTGTCGATTGCCCCTGACATCAGGAAGACACGAGAAAGAGTGAGGACATTTTTTTAAATCAATTCCTGTCGATATACCGTACGATAATTTCAAGATCCTCTTCAAGAATTTCAGTTTACGTTCCTGAATCTTCCTCGAAGCTCCAGCAATTTGCTGCCTGGCTGACCGGACGACGACCCGAACTAATCGAGCCCTCAATTCTAGCATCAGGCAGCGGCCGAGAACGTAATTAATCCTCAATTAATCAAAAAGATAATTTATTCAATAGAAAAGAAGCGGCTCGAATCCCCCAGCTGAATTCTTGTGTAATATCTCTGAAACCCGAAGAGATAGAGATATATTCGTCAGGACCGATTTTAGAGATCAAAGTGAAAGCAACAAAAAAAGTCTTCACGTAAATATCGATATTTCTCTTGGATTTAGAGATATTACTCGATAACTCAATAATTTTCCAAATCGATTGAGCCTATCGTAACTCGGTTACGTAATCGTTCGGTAATTTACTGAACCGGTAAATGAGACTTCAATTTAAATATTTCAGTGACGCGAATGCGAGCTCAGGGATCGATCACCATGACGTTTAACATAGTCCTAAAAGATTTTTACAAACTGGGATACGACAATGGAGAACGAGACAAATACACAATGACTCATTAAATGCGTCATTTAATATTTACGAAATCATTGTAAATACAGGAATAAATACCTCTGAATGAATCAGTTAATCACATGAAGCTAATTACAATTAAATATTAAATACAGCGGATTGTTATTTTATTTGAAAACGAGTGCACATTGGAATTGATCAGAAGTCAGTCGTGCAGGAATTGCAGAGCAGCTCATTGGCAGTGACATTGGGATAATTATCGATAAATTCAAAAACCACTCCGTTGGTCCATCCGAAGCCCTGTTGGCATGTGTATTCCCCTCCAGCTCCAAATTTTCCCGGTTCCCTCGCATCATACTGTCAAATTCATTCATAACAACATAAAACTATTTTCCATCATCAAATAATTAATATTCAATTAATTCACAATTAAAATGGCAATTACAAAAATATCAGTAGTTTCAACCCCGAGATATTCCGTAAAAACTCATACAAAACTCAGAAAATAATGTGCAATAATCAAATTGTCAGGAATTATTTTTACGAGGATCACATGATGGGTAGATCTTGAAAATGAGTGACTTGCCCTTTTATCATGGTTTAACAACTTATTCATCACTGCACTACCTTGAAATTACCTTTTCAAACATGTGGCCATATTTATGAAAGCCGATGTACATTGCTCTGAGCCACCTGGTCGCAAGCTCCTTAGCAACACTCATAGCGGAATGAACTCGGGTGTTCCTGAGGCCCTGGACTATAATGGATTGAAGAGGTGGCCAAGCATTGGGTGCATCCCACTGTTGTCCCGTTTCATCCAGCGATGCTGGTGTACCCCCTGATCAATGAAAAAATAATTAAATCATACTCTCATCCCTTTGCACGACTTCTCACCCATAAATTCCCCAATCCGCTGGCGCCTCAGATATTCCACTGCCCTTTTTGCATAAATTTCTCGGTGAGTTCTATTAAAGCTCTCGGTGTATAAAGGCGTCAAATTGGTCGGATAGAAGATATCTCTCGGTCGTGCATTTTTCATGTCGTAATCCAACCAAATACCTTCATCCTCATTCCACAGTACGTGATCAATACCGCGCTGATACGTCCTGGCGATGTCTTCATAAAATTTTACCCGCTGTATACATAAAAATGCTAGAGAATTTTTCTGGTAATTTCTGGTAATTAACATTCTTATTCTAGTTCAATTAATGAAGATTTTTCGTATATTTGGATTTACGGAGATTTTGAGTAATGGAATGATTTCCGAAAACATTATAAGCCAATTAAATTCATTATTTGATTATTAACGAGTTTTTGAAGTCCGTACAAATTGAGGGTATAACTGCGAATTTATTTTGGAGATGTTAATTTTTGGTTCAATCAACTCCAAAAAACCGGAAAACTCAGGAATCACATTTATTAAAAAAAATCGTGCGTTCGTCCGAACTCAAATTTCCATCATTCACGAGCTCATGAAATCCCTGTAATATAAATTTACGACTGCACTCTGTTCTCTCTTAAAACCCACACGATCGCTGATGGGGTCAGAATTTTTGATCATAGAGCTGCCAGAAATATTCATTCCCCACGATTTCACGTGACAAAAATCAATGAAAATGAATGAAACCGGTTGAAACATTTCTCTTCATTTCCATAAAAGAAAAAAAAAAACCATATACACACCGGGGAATTTCCTTCCATTCTGTGAAAATCAGCGAGAATTCTCGCGTTTCGCTGTAGAAACGCATTGAGATCGACGGGAACAATATTTCGGGTGGATATATCAGAGAGATTTCCAAATGCCGATCCCTCTGAAATGAACCAACGTGCAGAAAAATCCCATCCACTCTCAGCCCCCGCCTTTATTTCAGCATAAAATCTCTCCTCGTCGACGTGTTTAACGTGCTTTTGCGCCTCCTCGTAGTCCTCCCTGGGCGCCAAACATATCGATAAAACAATTTTTATTGTTTTTATTGCGCCAACTTTGGAGAGAATGTTTTACGAGATTTTGCAGGAATATTTCATCTTGAGAATCAAGAATTGTTTTTTTTTTTTTCACGTACCAGTAACTCTCAGGTCTAGGTCCCTCGCTGGTAACGACGTAATGGGCCATTCTATAAATTTTACGCCCTTTAATAACACTCACACTCTTTTCGTTATGAAAATATTTAAATTCTCTCTCCAGAAGTGGCAAGTTTTTGGATATAAATGTTGTATCGTTAGTCGAGTCGACGTATTTTTTCACCTGGTGATGTTAAAATTTTATAGACCAAGGGATGGAGTTTGGGGGGTGAGAAAAAAAAAATCAGGTGTAAAGTTACCATGGGAATGAGCAGTGGGGGCTGGCTTCTCATCAAATAATAAATCCTTCCTCCGTTGGGGACGAAACCGTACGCCTCCACCATTGACAACAAATTCTCAAGCATTCCTTTCGCTGTTTTTTCCATGCCAGAAAGAAGGAGACCCTCGACAACCCAATACGTGTCCCAGTAATAAAATTCTGGGAGGGAAAAAAAATTCAGTCTCTCTGACAAAAATTCAGCTATTCAAATCTTTCGCCGAGGACCATTACAGTAATTCCATCGATTTATTTATTCAATCCCTAAATAATTGGTTTCGTTTACAAGGAAAAAAGCTCGTATTAAAATTGATGAAATATCACCGGGGAAAATTTGACGTGATTTATCGTGAGTCTGGAATAATCGTTACTCAGCCAGCGTTCATTCGAGTATTTATTAAAAAATGAATTATTTAAATTGCAATAAAAATAATGAGAGGGAAATGGCGGTGAAAAAAAAATTGTATTTCATCTGCTGCGAGGTATATAGCTGTGAAATAAATCGTGAATCGATGGAAAAATTCGATTTTCTAAAAAATGCATTTTTCCTTCTTTAAATAATAAATAAATAGGGTCAGCAATAATGACTCATACCCCTGAAACGTCCACCGGGTACGATGAATCCATTATTAACGGGAATGAGACTGTGTCTTTCTGGATATTTGATGACATCCGGATGTACAATCCTCGACAGATTCCTCCAGATGAAATTGAGCTTGAGGATCCACTCCCTCACCACCTCATCCCTGATTTTCTCCAAGATACTGGGTCTGCTCTTCCAGTCCGGCGGTACCCACGGAATCAGTTCATTTTTCTTGGCAAAGTTCTCACTAACGAAGAGGGCCACTTGGATTTTATTCGGCTTACCACCTGTTGCCGACATCAACTCGTCGAAACTGCACACGATTTTTTTTGGGTTAATGTTGTGAAAAAATAATTACACTCGCATCTATCACTGGAATTATCAAGTGCTCTCCATTTACGAGTTGACTTATTCGTTGTATACCTAGTGCTCCAACGAAATAATGACAGTTGAATTAAAGTTCCATCAGATATCCGGTGGTATGAAACAACCATTACCGGGTGGAATTATTTAATTTCCGGTTTAAACTTTTTTCCTAAGTTACTCTTGACTTACACTTTACTCATCGCGGAGATGAAACATTTCTTGAATATTAAGTTTTAAATATTTCAAGTGTAATCCGATTTGTTCTGAAAACAACAGCTTCTCTATTTAAAAATTGTAACATAAAAACCACTCGGCCTTCAATCGATTAATTAATTGAATAATTACAAATGAAATTGGTAACTTAAAAATAAATTAAATCGAATGGAATGAATGTTCGATACGTCTCTGACAAATAAATTCCAATAAATTGTTATTATATATTTGAAAAAAATTTACCTCTCCAATGTTTTGTTCGGAGCATTGAGCAGATACATGTCTACGAAAGTTTTGCTATCCGGGAATATATTCGCAAGCTGTACAGTTTTTAACAGCAAACTGTGACAGTAAATCGGACTGGAAGTAGAATGAGCAGCTGATGAGACTGAACATGATGAGTTTGAGTAAAAATACCTGTTGCAGAGGTCCGTCTTCAATTTTCCTGACCCGATGCTGGCGGCGACGTCGCTCACATGAAGAAGGAAAAAGGTCAACAAGTGATCAAGCCACATTTTCCCGTTCATCTTCCTTTGACGTAGATATTCCAAAGTAAAAAGCCTCAAAGAGGTCTATCAGTCCCGGGGAATGAGGAGCGCTTTATACAGTCAATACAGCTCTGGAATCCTTTGAAATTCAGACAAGTTTTTCTCCGCATGAAGAGAAAAATACAAGAAAAATTCCTGTAAAATACAGGAATTGTTCTCTCCCATAATCCTCCACGCGGAGGCCAATTATCTCGACATATTGTTTGTGTTATTTTTTTTTTTTTATGAAAATGTTTCAAACTTTAATTGCTGCACTGAAATTCTGCAGCGAAGGGCTGACGTAAGTTGATCCGGCTCTTCGATTAGTTTTTATGAAATATCTTCAAAATTAAAGGAGATTGTGAAATTTTCGTTGAGACCTCTTTTGTAGGGCGAATCGAGAGCTACAAAAGAGGTTTTCAAAAAAATTTTGATAGTCCCATAGAGTCGGAGATATTTCGACGAGCCGACTTACCTCTTTCTCCGATTCGCAAAAGAATTTATCGGAAAAATTTTTCCCCGTGTAACTGAGACGCTTGAACAAATCCTTCTGAAGGCATCCTGCATCGACCAAGGTGGCGACACCGTCCCGAACCCACAATTAAATGAATACAGTAATGCTAAGTACTCGAGTCTGCGCAATTACGAAATATCTCCGCTCTTATTACGTGAACTAGAATTTTACATTTTCATTTCCCCTCTAATGCGTAATTTCAATACAATGAGGATAAACGGCGACGTAATTTCGAATGCTTCTGCCGATGAGAACTAATGGACCTGAGGATGTGGTATTTATGGTACTTTGTGGATGGAGGTGAATTTTATACTGATAGTAAGCCGAAGTGAAACCCGGAAAATTGAGTTGCGGCAATTTTCAGACGGAGGTAAAACTACCGCGAGGGCAATCCCGTGGGCACCGACGTAACCCAACTCCATGGGAATTGAAATTTTCCAGGGTGAACTATCAAAGGACTTGCATTGTTCTCGGGGATGTACTTTCGAGTTGAAATTGCTGTTCATGATGAGGAGGTCGCGCTGTTTCACGTGTCAACGATGGATTTCGGAATATTTCACTGCAACTTGTACTTCTCATTTTCAATATTGTCAAGTTAAATTGCGGGAAAAATTTTTCACACGAGGGGCAATACGTCCTTTTGATAATGCAATTAATTTGTTTTTTCTATTAGATAAAATACCGTAATGGTATTCACACTTTTTTCCAACGGACACAATTTTTTTCAACGAATTTGCAGACTTCAACGCGGGTGGAAATGAATGTACGTGACGTCGGGACTTTGTGAAGTTGTACTTATTTTTGTGCGATGTCCTTCGTGCACCATTCCACCACGGAAAACAGACATGCTCGTTTGACATGGAATAACTTTTTAAACGCGTTTCTCATGTACCTGCCCTTTTCCCAGTAAATACGATACAGAAAGTTTGTGATGGGCTCTCGCTCCCCTGAGTCACAGGATTTAGGGAACAATAAGATATTTTAAGAGTTCGACACGGAAATTGGGAAAGCCCGGAGAATATCTTACGCAAAGTATGAAATAAGAATTTATTCCCCTGTTTCATCGTGCGTGAGCTTCACCGGGTAAACAAAGTTTTAATGTTCAGGGACTGCTGGGACTTGGAATAAAAAAAATCAGTAAATAATCATGAGAATTAATTGCTCTCATAATTTCAATTCCCCTGTGAATTATTCCGAGGAAAATTGATAATTGACGCACTTTTGTAAAGTTACACTTTGAATTTTCAATAAAAAAAAATTTTACTTTTATTCTATTTTTATTTTTTACCAATGGCAATTTATTGAAAGTTTAATAGTATTTTTATTATTGTCAATTTTTTTTATTGAAATTTAATTGACAATTCTATAATTAATAATCCAATCGACCATGTGCCGGAAATATCAAGAAATTTCTAGCAGCAAATTCCCGGAATATTTCGTAGAGATGCATTGGAAAATGGGGAATGTAATGTGTATTTGAAGTTGGAAGGTGCCGGAACTGGTGAACAATTGAAATTCCAACAACTGCGAGCTCAACTCCAATTCGGAAACAGAAGCCCCAACAATGCACCGAAACCGAACGGTAAAATCATCGTAGAATCAAATTTTGCGATGCAGTCTGTTGCTTGAAGTAGTAAAGCCACGCCAGTGTCAGACCCGTGGACAGCTGTTTGCAATGGTCCGTCTGAAACGACCACAAAACCCCATACAATAGTCGGACGACGTAAAATTTCTGCAATAAACCGGACTCCCTTTTTTATGAAACAATAAAAGAGTTAAACAAAGCGTTTAATCGACTAGTCTACGTCGGGCAAATTTCATTCCCAACATACTTGTTCATTTGCCGAAGACACAGTGGAAAAAGTTGAGGTAAAATTCATCGAGGTAACGTATTGCTCGGAATAATCCAATATGTTTTCCAAACAGTGGACACCATCCATCGGAAATACAGGGAATGCTCTCGTATCGAGCCTCATCGAACATGTCTCGTTGTTCACCTATTGCCTATCAACCGAGTACCATAAAAACTGAAGACCCGAAATAACGGATAAATCATAAACTCCAACAGCCGGAAATTATTGCAGCCAAACTCTCGTCATTCATCGGAATATCGTGTCCACTGGCCATTTCATATTGTTTGAATTCATTGACAAAGTGACAGTGGTCATCACTTATATTCATGCATTCTTGTCTGATGTTTCGATGGTGTCATCATCACGTCGTCAAATACACAGGCGTAAACATACCGCAAAAGTCACCATAAAAATGGCGTTAAAAAGCCCTTTACTCATTTTAACAGATAAAAAATTCGCGGTACATTTGAAAAAAGTGGAGTCAATTCTATAAAAGAACGAATTACTCATTGAAATTTATTCTCTACAATTTCTGTAGAATTTTCAACGCCTGGGAATTGAGAATTTAATCTCATTTGATGGTGTGAATCTGTAGAAATTGACATAAAAATCGGTCCACCGTGGAATTGCAATTTCCCCAGAAATCAAACCATCATGGAGATTGATCACAGACCCTCGACCACTATCACGCGTGGATCAATTTGATTCCTTTTGCGCCACAACTTTTTTCCCCTATTTTCCCATGACTTTCGCGTTGTGCGTTTTTTTTTTCCGCTCGACCCAATGGTATTAAACATTAGTGAAATCAGCTGGAAACGTTCGTCCCATTCAGCATCCATGAAAATAAAAATAAACAAGATGGAAATTCTCTCAAATAATTTATTTCAATCCCCATACAGACGGCTTACGATTTCTGTCGACGTAGTCCATGAAATTCGAGGAATACTGATAACGTAACCTACATTAACTGCACATTGATAAATAATCTGAAATCGTGAACTGCCGGGAATTCCTCTCAATCAGTTAATTACTTATTAATTAATTTTGTTCATTATATACAAAAAAAAAAAAATCGGATGTTTCATAGAAAGTGAATTTTACAATCTCTCAAATGTTTTCGGTTCTTTCATAAATTTTCCATCTGAAAACAATGGAAAGAGCTGAGAAAAAAAAATTTCATTAATATAAATTGATCGATGAATTGAAATCAATCACAACAGAAAAATGTTTTGGGCTGAATCCGAAACGTTTGATATAAATCTAAATTGAATTCTATGAAATAGGATACCAAAGACATATATTTACTCAGTGATTTTTTTCCCCGTGTAGAATGAGGGAGTCTGATCGAACGAATAGAGGAAATAATCAGACAAATGGATCGCAGGAAAATTTGCCAAATGTTTTCTTCTTTGCCTTTCAGTATAACCGAGGCTTAACCGTTCCCGTTGTCCTCTCCAAGGGTGGAAGAGCTCTAAGCCCTTTTAAAGCCACCCCCATTGCTCTTGCGAGTCAAATCCATTTTCTGGATCTCTGGAAAATTACACTTTCTATTCTAAAGACTAGATAGCGAATGAGAGAGGAATTGCAGATGAACGCTCCCGGCATTTCTGGAATCAAATAAAAACAAGAACGGATTATTCCCGAGGTACTGGTAAGAATAAGTAATGACTCATGGCTGTCTGGCTAATTGTTTTTTTTTCTGGGAATTTTGCGACAGCGTTTTTCAATTCAGCAATGAGACCGATAACGTGAAACTTCTCGGGCACCGGATTATTTCCATTTCTATTAAATGCGTCGGGCATACTCGGGGAAATTCGGATTTTCCACTGCAATGTTGGGTCGTTAATATTTCTTGAGGGCAACTTTTAGTATTCCACGAGGGATACAGCCTCCATTGTACTGCGGAAACTATTTCAAAGGTGTTCTCAATACATCAATTGTAATCCCTATTTTAGCACAATAACTCGGATTTATATTTGGACGAGTCCTCAACATCGGAACTGATTCTAAAGGTCGAGGGGTGAGTTCATTCCATAATTGGATTTAACTTCCAATAATGTTTCGGAAAGAATCAATTGTATTTAAATCTCTGGTCCACTTGAATTCTTCAGATAAATTAATACTGACGAGTGAAGGGTTTAAATAGCGAAATTTTTATCAGAACATTTTTTTTAGAGGAAAATTAGAGCTACAAAAAATATTATAGCACCAATTTCGCTAGTTTGCTTCGATCTCTCGAAAACTTGGATATTTCTTGAATGCACTTGGGGCCCTCCACGTCTTCGTTAGGGAAATGTTTGACAGCAAAAATAATGAGAACTTCAGGGGCTCGAACAAGTGCCTCAAGATGACTCGTAAAAACTCCAGAAAGATGGCCGGCAGTCTTCATTATTAAAAAGTTGGGAATAATAAAGAATAATACGAAAGAGCAGTCGATTGATTGCGGTCGAACAATCTGGCGCGAGTTTAAATGAATTTTTCCAAGTTAAAATCAAGTGCTTGAGATCTGCGTTGGAATGAGGGAAAAATGTTGTCGAGTCGCGACGGAATTCACATCGTGAGAAATAATAGTGCAAGGGGAGAATTATTTATCTCCAATTATCCCGAGACATTGTTTCAGAAAGTCTCGCGTGTTGACACTCGCATGTTCGTTAGACATTTTATACGACTGGGTTAAATCTACATAATACTCACGATTGTTTATCTTTCGAGTATGTGACATCCATTGCAGGTCGTGTCAGTGGACTTAATATCCGGATACATGTCTAAAAATTCAAAAACCACCCCATTGGTGAAGGCGAATCCAGGCTGGACCTTGTACTCTCCACCCCCTCCGTATTGCCCAGGATTTCCTGAGTCATACTGAAGAAAATAATTAATGGTTAATAACACTCCGCAGATCCTGACATTTCCATAATCAATTCATTCCACCAAATTGCATTTTTATATCACTAAAATTACATCTCGCGAAGAATAATTTCCACCAACGAATCTCATAAATAAATTATTTAATTCCTTCGTTTTGGAATTATAAATAATAAGATGGGGAAGTTAGAAAATGTAACGATGAATTAATTCAATTGACGGAATTTCTTGTCAATTGAAATTGAATTCATATGAAATTTTAAATAATGATTTCTAAGATATTAAAAAAAAATGATTTATGAAAAACAAAAATCATTCCCACAGTTTAACCACGACATAAACTTCCTGGGGCTGCCAACCCCGATGTAAAATTCAGTGGCACGAATATCGCTAATGGCCAAGACGACAGCCTCAGCGGTTTTCCTCTGAACTTTACATGAAGGAGGCGGTGAACGTCGAGAACCTGGCACTTGAACCGATATTTGATCTTGCCATCATCTTCATTTGGAATTTCAATTTGGGCGGCTTGAAGACCATGATACTAGAGATACGATCCACAATCCATCGGAGATATCTCCAGTATTATCATGTTGCTCAATCGATGGGAGATCATGTTCACTGGAATGGTGAGTGTAATATTACAGAAGCTCTCTTGTCTATTCTCCAGTGGCTTTTTTTCCCTTCTTTTTTTTTTGGGTATGAATCTATTGTTTGAGCCAATGCGTGGGGGTTTTGCGCTCTAGTAGTTGTGTCGGTCAATCTCCTATTTCTCAATAGAAATTTCTGAGCTATTAGGATCCCACTGCGACTGGCGGCTTAGGTGTTCACTATTGTGCAGGGGCAACCACTAATGTGGCTTTCAAGCATAAACAGCACTGATGGTTCTATTATTAGGATGCACTAACTGCAAGTGAATGCCTCGATTTATCCCTAAAAGTGAATATTGATATCTCAATTTTATCAGATTATAGAAATTTTTCTTCATTGAACTCATTCCCACGTTTGAGGTTCAAAAGTGCAATTTTTTATCCCAGACGAAGAGAAAATTATCGAAAAATTTTTCTGTAAAGTCAATTATGAAAATATCAAATAATAAAATAAAAATCAAAATATAAAATAATACAATACAAATATAAAATATATAAAATATTATAATAAATATATTTCCTGTCGATCCTGAGATATTTGAAGAAAACTCGTCTCGAAAAAACTAGTGAGTTAAAGAAAAATAGTAAATTGGATTTTATTTGATGGTAAATTGCCGATTTATTGAGAAAACAGCGGGAATTTGCTGAAACATTACCCCAGCAATTTAAAGGGAAACGGGAAAATGGTGGAATGCACATTTTACGTCGCCTCCCCTAACATTCAGCGCTGAACAATGACCAATGGAAAACTATCAAAGCTGTCAGGAACTCGATCGGCTGTTCTTGACAGTGCGACCCGCTTTCAGTTGTCACTGTCCCCTAATTGATATGACAGGTCAACCCCCCCGAGAATGACGCAGAGAAGCGCTAAAACCCAGAGCCACTACGACACGTGAATTCTCGGAGAAGGTCACCGAGCTATTCGATATATCTCGCTATTCCGGATTAATCAGGACATCACTCATCGTCGAAAGTTTGTTTCCCGACGTAAACAAGTATACTGTGCACCGATACACTTGCATTCTCGTGTTGATTCAAGTTTAATTGTCCGAAACACGTGAACGGGGAAATTGTCGAGCAAATTCATAAAAATCAACAGTTTTCCCTTCTTTTCCCTCGAAAATTGAAGTATTTTCCCTCAAATTTCCACTTGAATTCTTCATTTTATTTTCCCCTCTGCTTTCGCCACTTCACTCCCAATAAATTGATCATTTCCTCGTTGCTCTTTCTCGGAATTGTTTTTGATACATTTTTAAAAATACAAAACAATTTTAAAACATCCCGGGTAAAAAAAAATTGTAATCGAAATATTTTTTTTAAATTTTCAAAAAAAATTTCAAAATCTTTCCCAAAAATAAAATTGTTTTGTTTTCCGATTTTTATCAATTGAATTGATTTAAAGAAAAAAAACATAAATTATGGGTAATTTTTTAAGATATTCAAGATTTTTTGAATATTTGAATTTTAGATGTCAAATGATGACACCCCATACGCGCGCCATATACACTTGTCCTATAAAAAAAAGCAGTAATTTCATACTCCGTCGCTTCGAGGAATGAAAAACAACGCGACTATTTCATTATTCCGGGAATAAGACTGGAATGATTGCATCTGTTTCTTCTCAAAGTTTATAAAACACAGCGCACTTAATTGTTTTTTTTACGGTGACATTGAAAATTCCTACTGCTGCCAACAAAGTTTCACGGCATCTCAGATTCCTATCACCCACGCAATCAGTACCTGGAGAATCAGAGGGTAAATTCCCCGAGGGAGTTTTGCAAATTGATGGGACAATTCGTTCCTTTGTAATGAAGAATGCGGTTGGTGTAAGAGAGACGAACAAGAAAGATAAATTATCCTGAGGGTTTGCAAACCCCGGAAAAGTAACGCAATCACTCCAAATTACGATACGTCAATTCACGCGTTATTTTTAAACAAATAATTATTACAATCATTCGAATTTCAATGACGAATTTTCACTGGAAAATTTCCGCATATCACTTCCGGTAGAATTCAATCAATTAAATCGCTCTCGAACGATTTTTCGAAGATGCACCTTCCGGAATACTCGAAGCATCCGACTTTTCTTGCTCCTCATGCATAATTTATCTGAAAAAAGCAACACCTCGATATCGACGTTTTTTCCCATCATTAATATCGCATCAGCCCGTCGAGATTTTCGCTCAACTTGACCTCGTCGAATTTCGCAGGCAATTTCGCCCTCATCCAGGCGAATGCACCGTGGAAAATAAATAATCGCGGAATTATCCACCGAGATGGAGTATGATTTGCAGCCACAAGGAATTATCATAAATCGGAGGTATAATCCAGTCTCACCCCTAAAATTATTCAAATCACCTTTCATGAGGTAATTCGAATAACTCTCCTCCATGACAAATCGGCATTGAAGACTCGCCTAAGCCTCACCAATTATCGCGATAAAATAATCGCTGATTAAAAAAAATTGCTTCCACCCCGCGTGACAATTAAAAATTTTCTCCGCACAAGAAATTGAGAAGAGAGTATCTTCTTTCTTTCACGTAAATCTTTCTTATCGCGTTAGTTTTTATCTCGGCGTCAAGTGGGAAATAAAGAGGTAATGATGACTCACCTTCTCGAACATTACCCCATACTCTTGGAATCCCAGGTAATTTGCCCTGAGCCACCTAGAAGCGAGCTCCTTAGCAGCTCCAAGTGCTGGTTCAGCATTCGTATTGTAAAGTCCTTGAACGATAAAGGATTGAAGTGGTGCCCAGGCATTGGGTGCATCCCACTGTTCATTCGTATAACTCAACGAAGATGGTGTACCCCCTGTATCAATCAAAAAACGTCAAGTGTCATGAGAATTTAGTGCTTCCACTATTCCACGGGACAGCTTCACCGCTATTTCCACTATTCTTTTTCATTTCTGTTTCGAAAATGACAGCGAAAATATTACACACATTTCTCAATTCGTCACCTAGACCGGGGTTGGTAAATAATCCATCAAGTTCTGGGGAAAATTTCAATTTAAACCACAAAACACACAAAAGACACATCATTGCCATTAATATATTGTATTATGTCCGCCCTTATTGCGTTTAGATTTGAGAAAAGATTTTTGAAAATTCACGAGGATTTTTTATAATTGATTTTTGGCGATTGAAAATGGATTTTTTAATAGAAAAAAAAGGAATTCTTACCCATGAAGTCACCGATTCCCTGGGACTTGAGATATTCAACAGCTCTTTTAGCGTAGACTTGAGACTTTGAACTGTCAAAACTTTTTGTGTAGAGTGGTGTTAAATTGGTCGGATAAAAGTGCTTCCTGGGTTGTCTGTTCTTCACATCGTAATCCAACCAGATACCGGCCTCTTCGTTCCACAGTACCTCGTCAATCCCCCGTTGATAAGTCCTCGCAATATCCTGCCACTTCTTGGCTTTCTGAAATACAAAAGAACCGGAGCAACTGAAGTTTGCACCACCAACAGTAAAAATATAGAAGCGATGTTCGTTGGGATGAAAAAAGGTTCATTAACGCTGATAAATATCTCCGAATCGATAAGAGCTAGCGAAAATATTTCGATAACCTTTTTTCTGCCTCTCGATTAGCTCTCTAAAAAAGATACCGACGAGAATTCGGCCATCTGTCCTAAATTCCGAGATATTCAGTGAAAACTGATGAACAGTCAAAACCTCTTTACCCCTTCACCCTTTTATCCCCAAAATAAACGTTCCTGATTTATCGGGTGCTCTCTCGAGTGGGAGATGACGAATTTTCCTTCTCCGAGAGAAGAACATTTGCAAATTCCTCCAGACAGTCTAATCACGATGATGGATATGGGCGAAGGTGCGGGTGAAATGGCGCGTTCGTTGCTCATCCAGAAAGTAAATTAGTCCTGCATTTTTCTCAAAAAATATACTGAACGCCGAGACCAATTAGTCTCTTTAATTTTAACTGGACCCCTGCGGATGGCCCATCGAGTATAACATGGAATTAAAAATGCTGGAGTTTAAGATAAGAGGGTTGGCCAACCGAGTGATGAACAAATATGAATCATCTGAGTGACAAGTTGAATGAGCTGCACGAGTTGGTGATCGCCAGCGGAATTTCAATGAGTTCAACGAGTCGTTGAAACTCGTGTTAACGCAATTAGTCGGTCATTGTGGTGACGCGATATCCCTATCTGGGATGAGATATGAGATAAGAGGAATGTCGGTTTGTGAGGTGCTATGAAATTTCTACATGAGATAAGAAGACTATTGACGATGCGTACCACTCCGTTTCCCAGGAGTTTATTGAATTGTCCGAGTAAACGCGCATTACGCTCGAGCAGGGAATTGAGATCGACTGGTATTATATTTCTAGTGGATGTGTCACTGAGATTTCCAGTCTTGTTTCCACTCGTTACGAACCACCTGGAGCTGAAATCCCAGCCACTCTCAGCCCCCGCTTTGAGATCCTCGAGGAATTCCTTTCTCCGGTTCTCTGGGAATAGATTCGCCAGGCGGTAATCCTCGCTACAAAAAAATGTAAAAAAAAAATAATATGTTTATTCGCTTGACTGATGAGTGACAAAGGATTAAAACCAAGAATTTCCACCCGGAAAGTAATTAAAAATTTTTCCAGACCTCCCTTATAAAGTCGAGCTAGTGCTGCAAAAGAGGCTCATTGAAAAAATTTCCACATCGATCCGTTTTCGTGGAATATCTCGTTATCTAAAAGAGATAGCGAAATTATTCCCATAACCACTTTTACAGAGTAGAATGAGAGGTATGAAAAAGGTTGATACAAAAATTTCGCTATTTCTCTCCAATTCCGAGATATTCCGGTGGAGAATTATTTCCAATTTTATCTAAATCGACGAATTTGCCTTTAGCTCATCGTTGAATTCAATGTAACGCCTTTGCAGACCTTTAGAAAAAAGGCATTATTTTTTTTTAGCTCTTCATAAACATTGAATATATCCAGCCCTTGAATCACTACCAGTGGGAGGTCTTTGTCCAAGTTTCTGTCAATAGATCGTCGAGCAAACAGTGTACAATGGAAAACGTGTGCGGATTGTGGAGCAATTGAAATGCAAAATCCCAGATAATGAGTTATTGTTAACAATTAGGAACTCACCGATAACTCTCAGGGCGTGGGCCCTCGCTGTTGACGATATACCTCGCCATCCTGTACGTTTTTCCGTTTTTAACAACATCCACACCCTTTTCACGCTGAAAATAATTGAATTCGTGCTCAAGTGTCAGCAAATTGTCGACGAGAAAGCCAATATCACCGGTTGCCTCCAGATACTTCTCCACCTGCATGACAAAATAAAATAAACACATCAGCATAATCCGGATGAGTGTAATATTTCTTCTCCGGGATGTCGACGTGTCAAATGGACTTTCTATCGGGTAAAAAATTCAATATGCTAGTGCATCCCACACATTGCCGGAGTAAGGAAACATCCTTGACACGATCTTGACATTTTCCAGGGTAAACTACCCCTACATGATTTTCCAACGAATTTTACCCGGGAGGGTTGGGGTACTTGTTTATTCACATGCAATCCCTACAAGATCCCAACTTGTGGCCAAATCGTACGGTCACGCCATTAACGACGGCTCCACCCCCTAAATTCATTAGGATGGACCTGGGGGTGGATTTACCGATGCTAATTTATTCTATGCATTTCATTATTCCGGCTATTAAGAGGCGAAAATTTCTGGTAGATGTCGGATTAATTATTCTCGTCGGAATTTTACGCTCGACGGTTTATCGAGTTTATCAACTTGTTATTATTTATTTATTTATTAGTCACCCAATCTTTTTCTCAAATTTTTTATTGCGACAATTGTAGTTCTCATTTCGTTCAATTAGTGAATTCATTTTTTTTTTGTTTTATTTTGCTTTGTAGATTTCATTTAAATAACTGGAAATTCATTTTTATGCTGCTGCACTCTAATTTTTCTCGGATATTTCTTCACAAAGAAAAATCCATCGCCGGCCACAGGATATCTCCATTAATGGCGAAGTTTCGCCGCCACCGGTGTTGGGAGAAGTTCTTACTTGTCCCCAAAAAAAAAAAAAAATTCCACTCAACGCCAGAAAAATTTCACTCGCGAGAGCAAAACATCTTTCATTGGCTGTCGCCAGTGGATTTTTCCCGTTCCATGAAAAATTTGATATCACAACAATAAAGACAACAATTACCATTTAATTCAATAACAAGTTTGATAATTCCGCCTCATTAATAATCTGCGGATTTTTTTCAAATAAACTCCATGAATTATTCCAGCAAATATTACAACTTTATAATTTAAAAACTGAAAAAAGTATTGCGAGTCTCTGAAGAGAAAAAAATGCATGGGGTTGTGGAATTTTTTAGCGAGCAGTGGGTAAAACTAGTAGTAATGGTGTAAAAAAAAGAAAATACCAAGAATTATGGGAGTTTTAGGTGTTTTCAGCGGTATCAAGTTGCAGTGCTACCCGGAGAGTCATAAATACATTCTATAACCGGCTCCTTGGCCATAAGTGTAATACGGCTGCAGGGGCCCATATGCAGCCTCCGAGCAACAATGAGAGTCTGGATTATGCCCAGTACAATTGAGTTTCCACGGTTATTATTCGATGACAATAAAATGGGAGTCAGTTAGTCAAGTGCAATTCGATTGCGTACGTACCATTGGAATTAACAGGGGTGGGTGGCTCCTCATCAGGTAGTAGATACGTCCCCCGTTTGGGACGAATCCGAATCTCTGAACCACCGACAAAAGATTCTGAATCATTCCCTTGACGGTTTCCTCCATTCCACAGAGGAGAAGTCCTTCCACGGCCCAGTAACTGTCCCAGTAGTAGAATTCTGGGGAAATATTTTAATAACCTGATAAAATGGGAGATCAGAAGAAATGCATTCGAATTTTAGTAAAACTGTTAAAAAGACCTAATATATATTTTTTTTAATTAAAGCAATTGGTGGAATTAATCGATACACTGAGAAAAAATTCAGCCATTAAATTAGAAATCAGGTTTCATCGAGGCTGAATGTTTATAATGTGGATGAAAAAATGGGCTCACCCTGAAATCGTCCACCGGGAACGATGTATCCGTTCTCAACTGGGATGAAGCTGTGTCTTTCGGGATATTGGAGAACCCGACTAGACATTTGTCTGGATAAATTCTTCCAGATGCCGTTCAACTGGTACACCCAATTGCGAAAGTTGGAATCCTGGATTCGCTTGAGTATCGGTGGATTTGGCTGCCAGTCTGGTGGTATCCAGGGTAATGCCTCATCGGTGTTGTCAAAGTTTTGGGCAACGAACTGAGCTACCTGCGCTCTGTTGGGTTTTCTATTGGTCGCTTCCATCATCTTCTCAAAGCTGAGAATAAAAATTCACGCGTATTTCATAATTTTAGGGAGAAATTGAATTGACAGGGCTTGAAAAATTCATCACACCGGTGATGGAAAATCCCTAAACCGAAATGGCATTTTTAAAAACCCAATTTTCATCACAAGAAATATGAACTCGGGGGATTTTAACATCGACAGGGACTGCCGAGGCGAAAATTCCATTCCACGGATATTTTCATTTGGGGTTTACTCCCGGGAATGGAGACTCTGGTGTATGAGTTAGGAATGAGGTTCTATCATGGCCAGGGACATTCAGGGGCGTGACTAATAGAATATATTCTGAATAAATTTGAATGAAAAAAAAGTGGGAGGATGATCGCAGGATTCATCCTAGTCCTCGAATATCTCGAGGTGTCGACTGAACGTATTTATATATTATTGTTGTATACATAAAAATATTCTGTTAAAAAGACGGAATAATTGGATAATCCACAGCAGTTCAATTTATTAATTACAAGAACTCACACAAAAATTCGTTGCATTTTGTACAATTGCATTTGCACTTTTTTTGTCCGGTAATTTTGATAAAATTTTATTGAATTTTCATCTTGGTGTGCGGTAAAACGGGTCAATGAAATCCCGACAATTTCCATTATTCCACTTACTTGGCTAGAGTCACAGAGGGATCATTGATCTGATAAAGATCAACAAAAGTTTTGCTGTCGTTGAAAATTCCCGCGAGTTGCACAGTCTTCAAGAGTTCCCCCTGACAATAAATTTCACTGCAAACAAAAAAAAAAAAGAAAATAAAGGCAAAACCATCAATCATGAGTGCATTAATTCTGAGATAATGAATAAACAGAATTTATTCCACGAGTCGAATAATCGGTATAGCCATCTCCACTTGAAACACGTAACATAAAATAGGCCACTGCGTCATTAGAACAATTTCACAATTTTTCACGATTAAAGATAAACTCCTCGATAGTTTCTACGGGAGATAATCGTTTCCACCGATAAACCTCGAGTGAATTTATTGTGAAGCCATCGGTACAAAAATTTCTCCCGTTCCCGCAAATCACGGTGAATTAATTCGATTGGATTTTCATCGCCTCAATGGACACCATTTTCCGGAAATTATCCGTGTAAACACCCCGAATCCACCCCTCATCTCATCCATTCTTATTTTAATCCTCCCCGCCATTTCCCCCGGAAACATCATCAGAATTAATGAGCTCTCGTTAATTCACGGTGTAAACTGATTATCCGTGAATCAACGAGTCATTTAATTGCTGAACATTGAGCCAGTGCTGATTCTGCCAACATGATTGTGATATTCATCAATTAACCTCGGAGGGGGAAAATCAAATGTTGCCTTATCACCAACCGTAATTAAAAAGTCTAATTACCCTGTGAATTCCAAACTGTTACGATAGAAAATGATAAACTGGCATGACTCCGTTTTGCGCCTCACGTTTTTATCGAATATCTCAGAATAGAAAAAAGATAGCGATTTTTTTGATGATACATTTTTTGTAGCGAAAGGTGAGTCAGACAAAAATGGTTATTACGAAAATATCCATATTTTCCTTCAATCTCGAGATTTTCGGGAAAAAGAGAAAAATCAATTCTCCCACTCCGCCGCGGAGTTATCGCGGTTTATTCGCCAGTGATTGCGCTTATCAATAAAATTCTTCAGCACGTGCGCCCTTGAACTAGGGAATTAAAGTCTAGTTTACAGCTAATTGTCATCAGCGGTGAATCTAATCGGCAATGGAATGTCCAGGGGATGATCTGTTGGGGATTGGACCCGGGGGAGGCGATCACGCGTTGCAGTGATATTTTTTCCCCGGAATTGGTTCGATCGTGCAAGCACCAGTGAACCTGAAAAGTACTCCCGCACTGCAACGAGTATATCGCAACGATATTGTCAAACATCAGTGCACAATAATCGTATCGGGTCGGCCATGAGGGTGTGGATTCCCCGGAGGATCAGTCAGACGGAGGATTCACATTTGCCAACCGCTGAATCGCTCATGCCTCCGTGCCAACTCCATCGGTATCAGGGCACAAAAAAAAATAAATAATTCAATCGAATATATACCAATATATTCGATATTTACATATAACGGCAATATATATCAAGGTAACTTAATTGGAGTGCAATTAGCATTCAATTAAATTCTTCCATTAATAATAATTATTAATGAATCATTGAATTCCAATAATTTTTTTTTTTATAAATGGTCGATTTATTCATGAATTAAAAAAGTCTTGAAATAATTTGACGATTTTTTTTTCTAGATGTTGAATTGTTGAAAATGATTTTTCTTCTTGTGCTGCTTTTGCAATTGGAAGTTTATCCCACCTCCTGAATTTCATTCTAGATGAGGTGGGGGTTAATGCCAGAGGATATTAAAAATTCTGCTGACGGACGCGTGGGATAATTTCCCACGAGTCCAATACCTTTTAGTTTAATTTTATTCGCTTTTGAGTTGAAAATGTCTCATTGAATATGAAAAATTCTAGATTGAAGCGAAACGGAAATTTTTTCGGTTCCAATGTGAATCGCAAATTGGATGAACCGTTTTGGTGATGACGAGGGGCTTTTGGTGATGAAGAAACAAGTCACCACCTGGGGCTCTCGATTCATTCGAAAACGTGCGACAATTTACCTCCATCATTTTTTTTTTCTCTCTCGGAATTGTTCCTGAAAACGAGACGCCTTATCTCTAGCTTCTCGTAGTTACAGTTTATTTTTATTTTTCCATTCGAAAAATCACCGACTAGATAATTACCAACACAAATCTCGAGCTGAACGCGTGCAGACGTATCGATACCTTCAGAGACAATTGGATATAATTATCTCAATCACTCCCAATCATTCGCCAATAAATTAATAATAGCATCGGCTATTATATGTGAATTCTCAAGGCGAAAAAAAAATCTTACAAAGAAAATTGACTCGGAAAACGAATATTTTCTAGTTTATAAAATCTGGAAAAATATAATTTCTATTGAATTTGAAAAAATGGCATTGTTATTATTGATTATGATGTGTTTAGAATTGAATAATTTATTGGCGAGTGACAAAATGAATTTCCATTGTTGAATAAAAAAATTAAATACACGTCGGTGGACTAAGCAGAACGACTAAAGTTCATTCGATTCAGAACATTGGTCTTTCGAGATAAAAGAAAGTTGGAAATTCTCGGTGTTATGACACCGCTAATATTAGACTTGCTGCGAATAAAATTATCATTAACAAAATCTAGAAGTGATAACGAAGAAATTTGCGGACCGCGTAGGCAAGGTTATCAGATGTCTATTAGCCTAAGAACGGAATGAATAAAGTTTGCGTAATTCAAGATGTTTAAACTCAACTTATCACGAGATGTGGGAAACTTTGATTATGAGAGGCTCAAAACTTTCCACAAGCAGTTCAATCACCACTTGCCTTTGTGTCAACTTCAACGAGATGTGATCAGCTAAATTGGAGGATCGACACTCGATCATCCGATGTTTAATCTAACAGTGGAAATTCTGAAACACTCTACTATCATTCCCGTTATTGTGTTATCGGGAGTTCTAGGCTCTGGGGGAATATCTTATCACAGAAAGCGAAACCGGAACTGCATTCTGTCGAGCGCTCGTTGCGATAATGACTGGATTCACCGGACACTTCTGTTATCCTTATTTTCAAGTGGTAGTTTTTTCTATTTAATTACAAATCAACTGGACCATAATCAATATTTATTCAATTCCCTTGAAGTTGAATTTTTCAATTAATTCTTAATTTATCATGAAAACCATTGATTTACGATAGAAGCATTAAAGGACTTTTTTTAAGGTCATTAAATTTCCGACAAAAAAGGTGCCTTGGTATTTTTTTCTGAAATCGATGGATCCTAAGTAATTGTAATTAATCGATATTAAGGAACTCCGACTCGTCTGGATTGTCTCTCTAACATTTTCTTGAACTCATTCAACGAGTTTGAAAAATTCCGCGAAAATTTTGTGAGCTGTATCAAATATTTGTTTAAAAAAAAGTATCACCTGTCGCAAAGATCCATTCCAATCTCCCTCTCATCGTCGTACCTCCTGATGATGCTGGCGCAATACACTTCATTCACCCCAGCCAGAATAAGTGTAAATAAAAACACATGCACCGCCATGTTCCTCCGATTGATTTGCACTCGACCCCTTTGACAATTTCGATGTACCTCGGGAAAACGCAATCAATCCTCCACCACCAATTTACCGAAATGTCCCCGTGAAATCTCCGGTTTCCTATATTTTTCTAATAAAAATGGCAATTTCGTAGACCGAACTTTATCACCCGCACTCGGCTATTTACAGGTTCAATCAAGGCGAAATATCTGTACCAGGGATAAAGGGAAAATTGTGGAAATACCGGAAATAGGTGAGAAGGGAGGATCGCGGATGGGGCATATGATCCGACTGCCCGAGTCGAGTGGTCAATCTCGCGGTCGCGGTCTGTTATATACCACCGAGAGAGATAAGTTTTTGTATCAAATGCTCGATGGGCTTGGCTGTGCGATCAATCCCATTGGCTGATGATTACATGACGGCTCACAACACTCGCATTAACATATCGAGATTTATGGTTTTTCGCTGCGGGTGTGGAATTTTTTAATAGAACTATTTTTCTACAAGCGACACGAAAATATCGTATTTTTTGTATTTTTAAATATTCTTGAAAATTTACATTCATTCAAACTTTCAATAAAAATGGAATTTTCTAGTTCAAGTTGTTATGATATAAAATCATAAATTAATATTAATTGAAGCAATTGTTTGAAATCGTAAAATCATAATTAATACGCAGTAAAAAATTAATTAACAGAGTACTAAATACTGTACAGGAATTTGTCCCGTGATTCGCGAAAACATTATCGATTTTATTGGCTGCGGGAAACAACCGGAATGTCATGCCTCGATAATTTTCTGGTATTCACTCTATTTAATCTAATCTGAAATCTGATGGTCAGGGAATTTATCAAATTCATTATATCAACACTCTAATCGCGAAAAAAACAATCAATAAACTCAGATAAACTCACTACTTCGATTATCAGTTAAATGGAAAGTTACGTTCAATAATTAACTAATTTATCATCAATTACATCTGGAAAAATCGTTCTCCCAGACTAGGACATTTCTCGAAAGTTGACGATAACTTTGTGACGTGATTTTGTAAATTTCAAGTGTTTACATTTCGAAATACGTTGTAACACTAATCTACTGCCGACAACAAACTCGATGTCATCAATATATCGAACACCAATTCCTGAATTATCGATTTACCTGGCAAACTAATCGATTTGAGATTAGAATGACAAACAATTTTATTCGCAATTGATGAATTCTGACAAAAAAAATCCATATTTTTTCCTGAAATCAATCATCTCTGGTGAATTGCTGATATATTTTCCATGAAATTCCTGAGTTCTTACACGAGAGTGAAAGAGTGTAACGGAACAATTGAAAATCTCGAAGTAATTACGGGGAATTAATTACTTTCTTTGTTTTCCTGAGTGGATTCTGTCAATAGCGAGTATTCGAGTTTACATTGACACGTGGCATTAAATTTCTCGTGCCAATGTAAATTTCACCTTTTTGTCGAATATATCACGACGATTAACAGCTTTTACAGTAATCTTACTAGTAAGTACGAGTTACTTGCGCAAATGTCAAGCGATATGCGCGCTAAATTGTCATGCCACTGGAGTATAGAGCAAGGTTTCCCCTGAATAGATAAAGGCACTAGTTAGAGTGTTTGGTATTGAAATTCATGAGCGGCGTTATCTCATTTTGGTTTATTTCACTTCCACAGTATTTTTTCGAATTATTTTTGGGGTTGAAAATCGAGTAATTTCCAATTCACTCGAAATATTTCCACCAATTGTAATAAATTGTTTATACAAAATTAATCTGAACCGCAAGTGTTTGCACTCGATTGGGAATTAATTCCATGCAATATTCCCTTTGATTTTTTTTTCAAAATAATAGAAAAATTGATTGATTGATTTTAAAAAATTGTGCGATTTTTTTTCGCGTAAAAAAAAATTGGAAAATGGGTGATTTGCGTTTTGTAAAATTGTGGCAAGTTATTGATTGTCTCACTTGAAATTGTTATTGCAGAGTAATTATTTTTCCGAGTTGTTTTCCATACGGAGAGATGAGAATTTTGGGGTGAGAATCTTCTCATCGATTCCATGCAAAATTTATTTCATATTCGAGAGAATGTAACCGGAGATAATGGATGAGGAAGCAGCACCGAAATTTATTACTCCGCAATCTGAGAAGTTTTAATGAAATTCAATTACCAAGAAATTCTCTTCATCTGAGGTTTATTAGACTCGCAGTACACAAAGGATGAATTTTCAACTGCAAGTAAAATATGATTATTTTATTATAATGAAGTCCTCGTTGAAGAGAATTCCTGTCAAAATTTATTTCCAGAAAATTTCGCAACTTTCGTTTCTTTGAAAATTCAAAATATTTTTTTTTCGGTGTTCTACATCGAGAGGTATGCGATGTGCAGATCGAGATTATAAAATCGTGAAATGATAATCGATTATTATTAAATATTTCGGAATTATTTGAGATCGGAGAAATTTGGGGGAGTGCAGATATCTGTTATGGGAGCTGATCACGTGCCTCATCTCCCATTTCTCCATTTTCTCTGGATAATGAGGAGACATGTGAGAACGTCGGAGAGATGTGAGATGTGTGAGAAAAAATGGCATTACAGATCCTTCGGATGTTCTAGGTCGTCAGCTCGTTATAGGAATAGTCAGGAATCCTCTTTGTCATCTACTCCAATTTTCTCCAATGGTGGAAACAAAGCCGAAATTAAGCCCGCCATGCTCTTCCATCTTTGAGGTTTCATATTATTCTCATTAATTCGTATTTTCTTACTTTCTTACTTCCGGTGTTTTCTACCTGTCCCTTACACACGGCTCTCTAAGATATTTCTTTGTCTCTCGTATTTATTCAAGAAACTTTGGATTTCTCGACTACAAACTTTGGAGTCAACCCAGTCACTCCATTTTCCATTTTATCGCGGAATTATAATCTTCGAAGAATAGCGCGGGATACAGAATTGACGTCTCAAAATGGTTGAGCTTTCGAAAAATCCTGGTGTCGTAATTTTTTTTTATGGGACTATTTGTAAATATTCTTCTGTCATAAAAATTCAGGGTCGAAAGGTAATTTTTTCCTGCCTTTCTAAAAATTACCGAACGTAAAGATCTAAGGAGATGAAGGCAAATTCTCCGAGAGTAACTTGGAAAATTTATGGTTCTCTCTCTTTCCACGAAAATTCGCAAGTTCCGGCGGTTCAGGGGAAATTGTGTAGCTCAGTAAAATTTATAGAACCAAATAAAAATATTTGTCTTTTACTCAGCAATTTTCTTCAATTACCTGAACATTTGGTCATCCCCTTTTCTCCTGACTTTTCCGGAAAATATAGTGTTGAAACTTTTCAATTACAAAATTCCGAAAAATCTCGGAGAACTGTAATTAAAAATCGAATCCCTGGAGAATTTTTTTTTTCCGCTTTCTTCTCTCGTGCAAACGTGTGAATTTCGCGACAGAAAGTTTTCACGTTTCGAGTGGAAACACGAGTGGAAACACGATCGCGTGATCGATATGAAACTTCATATGTAATTGCCCTAAGTACCCGGACTAAAAATACCCCGAGCAAAACGAGAACGAAACAGAACAGATCTCCACGGAGATAATCCATTTCCACTGAGCTGTCACTGTCATGTGACACGTGTCAAGCGCCTCCTCTGACGAGGGATGAAGATCGATCCAGAGATCGCGTGTCACTCCCCGCAGAGAAATTATTTTGCAAAATTCCGCTCTCAAAATGACTCCCAATTTTTGAACAAATTCCCCTCACCCATTAAAAATTCATAAAAAAATATTCATTAAAATTCATAAAAAAAAAATGGAATCACCCCCAAAATAATCAATTAAGCCTGATCAATAATCGATTTATTCCACCGGTAATTCAAATCGCAGAATGAATTTATTATATTGAAAAATGGATTCATCCCAGCGTGAGAGCGAAATTATTTCTCAAAATTCTTTTTGATTTTGGCAGTTGCCAAGAGTGCTTTCTCGTACCACATAAATCTCGCTTAAGTAGCTTTTTCTGTCAATACATCACTCTTCCCAGAAAAAAAAAGCTGAAAGAGTTGAATAAGCAGATGAACAACGTCATCCCCTGAAAAACAACTTTTGAGAAGAAATGAGAGGTATTCTTCAGGCACTTCGAAAGTGTGGGCGTCTGAATACATGAATGGAAATAAATAGAACTGGCATTGGGGATTCCCCGGAATCTCCGAGTCCCCACTGGAAGAGGAATCGTAGTTTATTTAACCTTATGGATGACTAGAATCGTGAATAACCAGGTGAATTTTGATGGAGCCGAGTCAAGAATACAATAAAAAAAATATAGACCTCATAATCCGCTCCCGGACCACCGGCAGTTAATATGATTCCTATCAGTAGAGATAAACCGATGTAATTAGCGAGTGCACGGTATTAATTGAATTGGCAAAACCAGGGGGAATCTGATCGGCGGTCCTGTGGTCCGCCCTAATTTCCGGAATATTTTACTGTCATTAACTCAATTCTCAAGGAAATTATATTCTTATTTTTCCGATTCATGGTTATGCTTTCCATTTTAAAAAATGTTAACACAATAAAAAAATATTTACAAGCACTTTTGAGTTAATCGAATCAATTAGCTGAATAAAAAATGCAAATAAATTCGCACCAGCTAGAATATATTACAAGTAAGGAGGAAAAAGATAAAAGTCAGGGATAAATAATGCGAGTGTTTATTTATGCAGTTTCCACACGAATCCACAATCGAATATCCACAATTCCCGATCCAAAAAATTCCGGTACAAAAACCGATTATCGATTTATCAAAAATAGAATCGTGAAATCGGCGGAAGTCGGGGTGCCTTATCAATTCTCGATGATCGATGATGTATTCCTGCAACATCTGCGATATGACTTATTATCAGAAGTCGAGGATTCGAATTTACGACTGAGTTTGTCCCCAAAAAAAAAGAGAAATATGTGAAAAATGCCTTATCGATTAGCATCGAGGTCTTTTGGACGTGCTGGAAGTGTAAAAAGTTTCAGAGTTATGACTTCCCCCGGATCGTGAATATATCGACGATAAATTTTGCGACGATGACTACAACGGGAAGTTGTCTATTTTCTCTTGCCAAGAGTTGTCCCTTTTTCTGGGTATTCTTTGGTCGATGAGGTGTCGTTACACATTTTGGGGATGATAATGGACCATTGGTATCAAATTTGCCCGATTGAGGGGATTTTATCGCATTGGGCTGTGATTCAAGGGACTGTCTCGTCATACTGACGCTTTTAATGGCCTCCGGGTTCATAAACTCGGAATATCCAGAGCAAATACCACTTCCGATTTTTTT